GATGGGTCCCTTGTTTCTTTCCATCTATCTACCCCTGCCAAAACAAGCCGACCCACTTAGAATATAACTCAAATTAATCAACCTTCTTAAGGGTCAACAGCCACCAACTGTTATTGATGTTGGGTTTTCAATTTATGCAATTTTTTATGGTTGGCATGTAAAGGTAAAAAAGGTGAAGGACCCCTGGAAGTTTAAGTCCTGTCCAAGGCAACTGTGGGTTTGCAACCCTCATCTTGCTTCAGATCGAGGGAGCCAGCATTTGTCCACAGACACCTTTCCGGGTCTTGTAGCCAGCATGGCTAAACTGCTTCTGCCAACGGAAACACTGTTACCTTCCCATTGCAGTGGTACCTATTTATCTACTTGCACTGGCATGCTTTTGAACTGCTAGGTTGGCAGCGGCTGGGACAAAGCAACTGGAGATCACCCCGTCAAGGGGCCTCAAACTGCCGACCTTCTGATCAGCAAGCCCAAGACGCTCAGTGGTTTAGACCACAGTGATTGTACTAAGAGTTATTATGCAGCTCCAAGACAGCACCATTACTCTTTTTCATAGACCCAAGAGAAGACAGACAAAGAATGTCCTTTAAATGTTTTATTCACTCTCACATTTGTTAATACACTTATATGTAGTAAATCACTTCAATATATGCATCCTAGTTTCATAATCTAGCACTAGTTGATACAATATTCTTATGCAGCACAAGCTTAAGACTTTGTTTCCTCTGCCCCTTTCTCTTCATTGGACAGCCTGGAAAGCTGACCTGTCTTTTCCAACAAATAACTTTTAGCATCATCTTCTTTGTGGCTGTTTCCAGTGTTTTGGTGAAAACCATTACTGTAGTTTTGGCATTCATGGCAACCAAGCCAGGATTCTTCTAGGATGAGGAAATAGATAGGGAAAAGGCTAGCAAATTACATTGTCCTTTTCTGCTCCTTTTTTCAGGCTTCCCTTGGTACTCTTTGGTTAAGTACATCTCCTCCATTCCCAGATACAGATATACACTCACTGAATGGAAAAATCATACTGGAATGTAATGAGGGTTCAGTTCCCATGTTTTATGGTGTCTTAGTCTATATGTGTTTGCTGGCCATTGTCAGCTTCATCTTGGCTTTCCTTGCCATGAAGTTACCTGACAGTTTCAATTAGGCCAGATTTATCACTTTCAGCTTGCTGGTGTTTTGCAGTGTTTGGTTGTCCTTTGTTCCCACCTATAGGAGCTCCAAATGAAAATACATGGTAGCTGATAATTCTATCCAATATTATCAGTAATCTAGTCATTCTAATAAGCAATTGTTGTATATTTGAAAGTACTGTATTAGCCTGAATATGAGCCTTACGTTTCCCCCAAATTCCGACCATGAAAAGTGTAAGTGCGGCTTACATTTGCAACCTTATGGTATGCAGCCAGGAGCGCAGGGGAGACAGTACCAGGAGCGCGGGAAAGCGGTGGCCGACCCAAGCATAGTTCCCTGTCATCTCCCCCAAAGCCAGGAAGGGAGAGAGCAAGGAAAGGGGAAAGGCCGCTGGCAACGCAGTTCGGCTCCCCACCCCCCACTATGCAGCCAGAAGCACTGAGGAATGGAGAGGCTTATATTCGGGTATTTTTAATTTTCTCTCTCTCCCCCCCCCTTCCTTTTTTTTTTTAAATCATATTTATTGAAGTTTCCAAAAAATCCAAAATATAAAAAGAAAAAAGACATAAAAAAGAAAAAAGGGAAAAAAGAATATTTAAAACCTTATTTTCATTAACATCTTTCCAAGACTTCCTCACCCCTCCCCCTATTGTATTCCATTTCCATTAGATTAATTCCACAAGTTTTTCCCCCAAATTTAAAACTTATTATATTTAACCCAATATTCAATTTAATTCATCTTATATAATCCCTTTCACTTAAAAATACCTTCTTTCAACATTTAAATTTTTTTTCTCCCTAAGGACGACCCCAATTCCCTTCCACAAATTCCCCTTTTTAATACACACAAAAATTAAAAGAAGTAGAAAAGAATATTCAAAATATAATTTTACACCCTTTGGATTCCAAATCTCCCTCCCCCCTTTCCCGGTGTCGATCCCCAATATCCATCAGTCTAGCTACTATCAGCCTGTAGGCCTCACGTCCATGTTCGAATCTCTCTCAGCTCCACTTTGCCGATTTTCTTGGTAGTCTTTAACTTCAAACACCCAATCTTAAAAAAGTTCTATCTCAAGAAAGTCAATTTTTCTTCCATCCAGACCTCTATATTTAAGAGTAAAACTCAAATTCTGTTTCTTAATCCTTTTAAGTCTGAATGTCCCAAATGTTCTAACTTCCAGCTTAGTCCAATTCTTGTTTTCTTTTATGTCCTCCCTAGCAGGCTTTTGGCCTTCCTTGATCTTTACAATAATATAGCTCCTCCTTCATTCTCTTCCAAATCATCATGGATCCCTTGTTCTCTTTCCTCAAATTTCTTTTCCTGTTGCGCCACAAAAACATACTAATTCAAAAACTTCTGGTTCCTCTACAGAGGTGTTATTTGTTCAGGAACAAAAACTTACGTCAAGTCCCTTCCATTCTTCAATAGATAAATCTATTGTCTCCTTTAGTGTAGAAACCTCTGTAGACAAAATAATGTTTCGTTTTTGCAGCTTTCCCAGGAGATAAAATAGTCCAGTCCCATTCCATGAGTATTTTTCCACTTACAGTCATTCTTGTAATGTCCAAAATCCCCTCTAGGGGGATTATGGTAACTTAGTTTCCTTCCAAATCAAACCCAAAAGTCAAGCTAACTTGTATTCCTTATTTTCAGCAATTTATATCCAAATTGTAACAAATCTAACCAGCAAAGTCCTCGTAACAAAGTTCTCTTTTAGTTCTCCAGCTTTGACAGCTACTTTGACAGCTGTCAAAATCTCTATATCTCTTCACCAGGCTCTCTCACGGATCTCTCCCGGTTCCTGGGGGGGGGGTTGCATTTTAGCTCATCCACTCTTCTCCTCCAGCACAGTTACTTGTAATTTCCCATCGTGAAATTAATAGCTTTTATCAATAAAAAAGAGCAAGCTCTTCTCTCGACCTTAGTTGTCAAATCCTTGCTTTAAATTGTCTACAATAGGGGGGAGACGGACTTCCTTTTTGCGCCTCCCCCGCTCGTACCGAATTCCAAAAAAAACATTTTCCCTTTTAGGTCCGATTTCCAGATTACTCACGGGTTGTTATTTTAAGTCCAAATTTCCAAAAGAAGAAGTCAGCGCTCTCCGTCGAATGGCATGCGGCTTCGCTCGGCAGGGGAAGAGGAAGACTCATAGCACCACGCCACCCCCCATCCCCCGCTCCGGAGCCTTTAAAAAGGCTCCTTCGCGGGTCGGGGGCGCAAACGGTGCCTGCCGAGTCACCAGGTCCATGGGCATCTGCGCCCATGGTTTCTGAGGGTCCCCGCGTCGCCGATGCGGCGGGACCTAACCCCTGCCGAGCAGACTCCCTCCGGAGCTCGGAGGGAGTCCGCCATTCGGCACTGGCGCCAACCCGGAAGTCTCCCCCCCTTCCAATTTTAAAGGAGCGGCTTATATTTTGACCAATACAGTATCGTTGTTATTTATGTATTTTCATTATATATATTTTTTTCTGACTGCCATATATATATTTTCCAGACATATCCATGATTCGTCCAACACTTATAGTGTCTGGGGGGATTTCTGGCAATCATGAAAATGTCCAGGAAAACCATTCTAGAAGTGCTGGTTTTTCATTGCACTTCTTTAAAAAAAACTCAAAAACATTCAATTTCTTGGTGCTCAGGAATTATTTAAAGAAGTCCCCAAATTATTGCAGATTTGAAATCAGTGGTTAAAACAAATGCATTTTTTTAAGGATTTAGAATGGCACCAACTCTATCCAACATAGGTGACCATTATGCAAAAATTGGTTAGAATATCTCATCCAAATGTACAGTGAACAAACAACTTTCCAAAATGTATAGCAGATAGATGGAAAAACTTATATCTAGATCTGGAGACAGGCAGCTTGGACCTGCTGGGGAAGTGCCACATACTACTAATTTTACCTAAAATGAGAAAATAATAGTTGTATCACTCTAATAAGGAAAATTCCTAGTAGTTTTCTCATGCATGATACTGCTTCAGCAACACACTGGGGATGTGATAATCATCCTTAACTTTATCAAAATTATGGGTTTTTGCAACCTCTAGCACAATTGACATTCAGAGCCTATTAGCAAGATCAACCATCCTCATCTGAAAAATAGTATAAAACCCTTATGTTCAGAATGAGATGTAGGTAAGAACTGGGCTCTGTTACTCTCTTCTAAGTTCAATATATATATCATATATATATATCTTATATAATCATATATATCATATATCTTATATAATCTGAATGTCATATATATATAATCTTGAGGTATCCAGTACCAAAACTTCATTCTGCTGTGATACTTAAAACAAATAAATCTCTGCTTCTCAACCTTTCTCCTTGACCAGCATATCTTCCTAATCCCAGATTCTGACTAGGTATTCGTTAGCGCGCACAAAAAAACATGCAACCTGCTTCTCCACTATTCATCTTACATTCTTTTGCAACAATTGATTTAGATGGCTACACCATTCTACCCCACTTTTTCACACTAAAGCATTGCTACATTTTCATTTTTCACCATTAGAAGAGAGAAGAAATAAATGATTTGATCCTGAATTTTGCTGACCTTAGATCCTATTTAAATCAATCAGACAACTCTGAAACAATTTAAGTCCCATTAATATAAGTGAGAGCTTAGTTACATCATTTAGTTGGCAACCAAAGGAAATACATAGTTCAGTGACACTGGTGGAAAAGAGCCATTATTAACTACCTGCAGTGGTTCTCAAATTCCCTAAGAATAAAATCAGTGCAGCAACAGAATCAATCATCATTCAAGTCAGTTTGTATCAAAAGCCATGTCAAATGCTGTAGAGGGAAACTTCGGAGTCTGGGTTTGGCAGAGGTATTCTATCAACAGGATCATGTTGGTCATTGTGTTGCTACTAGCACTACTATGTCATGCCGTATGCAAGAAACATTCCATTAATTGCAGCATATATGACGATCCCCTTCCCATTACTCATAAATTTTACCAGTCAGGAGACCTTCTCATTGGTGAAATTGTTTCTCAAGTATTCTACCTCTATGATCTCCTCTCTTTTATGAAACAGGCTACACAGATTGTGATTTATGAACCGATGTAAGAATTCAGTTTTTTATCCTCTTTCTCTTTCCTTCATTCTTTCATATGTCTGAAACGTATCAATTGCTTGACCCATCTTCATCTTGGTACAGTGATTCTCAGCTTCTTGCATGTACGGTGGTACCTCGGGTTACATACGCTTCAGGTTACATACGCTTCAGGTTACAGACTCCGCTAACCCAGAAATATTACCTTGGGTTAAGAACTTTGCTTCAGGATGAGAACAGAAATCGCATGGCGGCGGTGCAGTGGCAGCGGGAGGCCCCATTAGCTAAAGTGGTGCTTCAGGTTAAAAACAATTTCAGGTTAAGAACAGACCTCCAGAACGAATTAAGTACTTAACCTGAGGTACCACTCTATTGAGTGATATAATATTAATAATAATAGGTTGTTGGAGAGATGGCCAAAAAAAATTCACTCTACATCTCCCTTCTTCTCAGCATTTTCTTTAAAAGGTTAGGAGGCATGTCATAGTTTATATATGGACTATCTACCTTGGGCTTATTGTTTGTTGTTTTTAGGCAAAGGGAGTAAATCCAATAAGTGCACATAGAAGCTCATTAAGTAGAATGAACCATCAACATTTTAAGAATTCAGCATTTCAATTCAAATATTTTATTTATCATGTCTATTATCTTCTAAGGTTTCAAAGTTACACCACATTCTTGACTATATAGTTGTTTTTATTTAAGTATTTTCATAGTTAACAAGGATACATACAACGTCTCTGATTTCAATTCACAGAGACCTTTCTACAAGTCATTTATTCTTGAAGATCAGTTCTGAAGAATAGGAACACCTTTTTATAGAAATGCCTTTTTATTGCTTCCAACACAATTGTTTTATTTATCAGCTGTAACAACTCTAAATTTCATTACAGTTCAGTGCCAAAGAACTACCAGCACATCCTGGCCTTGGCATTTGCTGTAAAAGAGATCAACGAGAGTCCCAATATTTTATCAAATCTCTCCCTGGGATTCAGCATTCTTAATAGCTACTACACTGCAAGGATGACCTACAAGGCCACCCTCAGCCTGCTTTCTGCACAACATAGGTTTGTCCCCAACTTCAAGTGTCACAACCGGAACAATCTGATAGCTGTCATTGGAGGATGTCTTTCTGAGATCTCTGTCAATGTGGCCATCATTTCAGCAATCCACAAAACTCCGCAGGTAAGCTGTGGTGTTATGGTGATTTTACAACTGTGGCACACGATTATGATTTCAGAAGTTGTCTGTGATATTTTGATTAGAAACTACTTTGGGCCAAGTTATTTGATATTCTTGGTCTATCACTAGTAGTATAAGATGTTGGATACACCTTGTAAATGCAAGTAATGGTAATGGTAAAAAAGCTTTAATGTGACTGCAACAGGAGTGTAACGGACTCATTTGTACTGTTGAACCCCGAGAGTGGATCCAATACTTCCAATCATTGTTTTATAATAAGGAAGCTCAGTTTAACAAGCCGAGTGTTCAATCAGAGGTTTCACCTCACTGGCCACCCGTAACCACAGAGGAAGTAGAGAATTTGATGGCACAGCTAAAGAACCAAAAGGCCCCTGGCATAAAATTATATGCAAAACACCTCTAAATCAAATTAACTAGTTGGATGGACACTGAGACTATCTTGGTGGAGGAGCAAGCTGGATTTAGGCAAGGCAGATCTACCATAGACCACTGTTTTGTCCTAGCACATCTCATCAATAAATGCGCCAAGAAAACCTGTGGGGTCTTATACGCAGCCTTCATTGACTTGAAGGCTGCCTTTGATTCAATTTCATGAGTAAGACTCTGGGCCAAATTGAATACATCCAATATAGATAAAAGATTACTAATTTTGATTAATGGCCTATATAAAGATACTGTGCTGTACGTAAGATCTTCCACAAATGGCCAACTCATAGGCCCTGTACCAGCCACCAAGGGGGTTAAGCAAGGCTGCATTCTAGCCCCAGCTTTATTTAACCTATATATCAATGACATGGTTAAAAGCTTAACATCTCCGGAGTTTTATGCTCCCAAATTAGCCACAAAACCAATCTCAGTGCTCTTATATGCTGATGGTGTGGTTCTCCTATCCTGAACAAAAATAGGCCTAAAAAGATTGATAGGAGAATTCTTAGCATACTGCAGGAGAGAACAGCTGGTGGTAAACTATCAGAAAACCAAAGTCATGGTTTTCACAAGGAAACATAGATCACATAGCTGGAGCATGGACAATTATCCAATTGAGCAGGTTAAAGCCTTTAAATACCTGGGCATAGTCTTCTAGTCATCGGGGTCATGGGATGTACACCAAAAATGTGTTAAAGAAAAAGCAGCCCAAAGTGCTAAGATGTTGTCCTGTTTTTTCCATACGAAGGGCGGCAAATACATCCCAGCAGTCCTAGAAGTTTTTCAAGCCAAATCTTTGGTGCAGATACTTTACGGGGCCCAAATTTGGATGGGTAATCATTGTAGCATTCTTGAAACTGTCCAATCCAAATTTTCAAGGCATATTTTTCCTGTACCACCCTGTGTCCCGAATGCAGCATTATGACTGCAGGCAAGTCTTCCCTCTGTAGAAACTCAGTCCTGGCAAAGAACTCTTAATTATTGGCTCCGTCTAAATTTAAATCCACCCGGTCTACTGCCCTTAGTGACACAAGACCCCCACAAAAGTGGGTTGTTTTAAAAATGTGCACCAAAAACACCTCTCCTGTGGACTACACCCACATCAGCTTCTCATGACGGGCTTTATTAAAGCAAAAAGGCTAATTGGACAGTGTCTGAAGGACTTAGAGCAACAGAACAATCCGGCCATTATAAAGAAATTCTGTCCTTGGTGTGCCTTTTTTCCCCCTTCTCAGTTTGATTCCCTGGCACCATATTTCTATAAATTAACTATCCCAAAATACAGATGTGCCTTCACATTGGCCAGATTGGATGTGATGCCCTCTGCCGTACTTGAGGCAGATACCAAAAGATTCCAACTGAGAAACGACTCTGCCCCTGTGGAGATGGTAATCTGGTAACAGTGGCTCATGTTCTCCTGTCCTGTCCCCTTTATTTTTCTATACACTATAAATTGGAAAATGACAAATAAATTGTTTGTTTTTACTGCATAATGATTTATTGTTCCTTAGGTCATTGTATTCCTCTCACGTGTCATCATGTTTTTGACACTATGATGAATAGAACATGTTCCTATATCAATCAATCATATATAAACCATATAAATTACAGAACAGAAATACATGTACTATAGATCCTACCTCCTGATTATCAAAGGTCCCTTAAAAAAAGAGGGAGCCAGCATACCTGCCTCAAAGCACTTGGGATGGAATGACATCTAGCCAGAAGAAAGGTTCTGCAATATTAAATAACATTGGATATAAGAGCAGTTCAACAATTGAACAGCCAACTGTTGCAGCTCCTCTTGCTCTCAATATCCATAGGTTGTTTGACCCAATTGCCTACAGGACTCACTGAAATGCGTTGATAGAATATGTTTTTGGGATCCATTTGAATAATGCTTATAAATTTCCTTCCAGCTCACTTATGGATCGTTTCTGCCAGGACAGCATGCTAAAATGCAATACCCTTTTTTGTATCAGATGGTCCCAAATGAAGCCCACCAGCACATAGGAGTAGTGCACTTACTTCAGCATTTTGGATGGACATGGGTTGGACTCATTGCTGTGGATGATGACAAAGGGGACAGGTTTTTACAAACAATTGTGCCAATGCTTTCACAAAATGGCATCTGCTATTCTTTCATATTAAGACTACCAAAATGGAATTATCTGGATGAAATTATAGACTTGGCAGTACAGCATTTTGACAGCTATACAATTGCATTTGAGGCAACAGCTAAAGTATTTTTTGTATATGGAGAACCTCCATCTTTTCAAGGTTTGAGAATATTGCTGTTTGCAGCACCCTTCTTCTCTTTGCCACCTCTGGGTAGAGTGTGGATTGTTACATCTCACTGGGATTTTGCATCACTTTCTGTTCAAAAAGATTGGGATTTACAAAGCTTTCATGGTACCATATCCTTCACAGCTCACTCAAATCAGCCATCAGGATTCCCAAAGTTCCTTCAGATGCTAAAACCCTCCTGGGAAAAAGGAGATGGCTTTATCCAAGACTTCTGGGAGCAGGCATTTAGCTGTTCATTAGAAATGTCTATGGGCCAAGAGAAGAACCAGAAGGAAACCTGCACAGGGGAAGAGAACCTGGAGAGTCTTCCTGGAAGTGTATTTGAAATGAGCATGACTGGACACAGCTACAATGTCTACAATGCAGTATATGCAGTGGCACTTTCCTTGCATGCCATATACAAATCCAGCCCCAATGAGAGAAGGTTGATAGAAGGAAAGAAACTGTTTTTTCAGAGAGTTCAACCATGGCAGGTAACTGTAACTCATGTAAAAGAGAAAGATGAGCTAGCTTTCGATAAAAAATAAAAGGGATTATATATTTGCATAATATAGTACCACTATTTTTGTGCTTTTCATTTCCTTTCCATCTTCGTTTTGTTTCTTTCAAATTCATTTTGGTAAGAAATACCAACCATATGATAAAATAAGGTGGGGTTTTTTTGTTTTGTGTTTTTTTAAATAAACACAACCAGTTTCCTATTTGGAGTCAATGGAGGGAAGTAGCATCGAGTACTATAAGGTTCTCACACGTGCTCTCCAAATAAAATGGAAGACAGACCTAATAGACCCTTTCTTTATATTCTCTTTCAATCTAGATCCATAACTTTCTCAGAGGCTTCACATTCAACAACAGTGCTGGAGATACTGTGTGCTTTAATGAAAATGGGGAATTGGTTGTAGGTTTTGACGTTACAAACTGGTTGATTTCTCCTAATGGGTCGGTAATTAGAGTCAAAGTTGGAAGACTGGAACCTCAGGCTCCTACAGGCAAAGAGTTAACCATTCATGATGATCAAATTGTGTGGCATCAAAGCTTTAATCAGGTGAAATATTGCTGCCTGATTATTTGGTGTCTGTGACCAATTTTTGTCCTATAAGCCATTTTTTGTAAGCCATTGAAAACAACTTAGTACATTCCAGTTTTAATTTTGGTAAAAGCCAACAGAAAGGGTTGTACATGCCCATAAACACATCTTTAAATCTCCCACAGTGGCAAGTGGGAGGCATCACCACCCTGGGTGGCTTCCAAAATAATGAAAACAGAGCAAAACATCAAACATTAAAAACTTCCATGTTATAGGGCTGCCTTCAGATGTATTCAAAAGATTGTGTAGTTGTTTTCATGTTTGACATCTGATGGGAGGGTGTTCCACAGGGTGGGTGCAATTACAAAGAAGGTCCTCTGTTTGGTTCCCTGTAATTTTACTTGTCGCAGTGAGGGGACTGACATAAGGCACTCAGAATTGGACTTCAGTGTCCAGACTAAATGATGTGTGTGCAGATGCTCCTTCAGCTTTACATGGCCGAGGCTGTTTAGGGCTTGGGCAAATGCCACAAGGCATTTGTACAGGGCTCATCCACGTTCTCCCCCTCATATATGCTAGCTGTTGGAGAGGTGGATGACTGTGGAGCATTAATCTGTAATTGCAAATGCCACTTTGAAATTTCTCTATAGGTGGATCCTCTTTCTGTGTGCAATGACAACTGCTATCCTGGCTACAGCAGGAAAAAGAAGGAAGGGGAGAAATTTTGCTGCTACGATTGTGCTCCATGTCCAGAAGGGATGGTCTCTAAGTGGAAAGGTAGGAGGCATAATGTACAGAAATATCAATACAATTCCATAACACAGGATGTTTCTTTGGAGAATATGTAGCCCATTGAATGTATATGAAGGTAGTGTGCAACAGAGGTTTAAAACAACTAACAATCCCCCCACACACAAACAAAATTATCAATTTTAAAGACATTATGGTTTGTATGCAGTGTAGCATTAAAGTCCCATAGTGTCACCCTTGTTCCACCAGATGGTGTTTTTGTGCCAGTAGAACTTTGCTGCTCAAGAGAATGCATGACCAGGTTGCTAGCTACTTTGTTGTGCAATAGATTACACAAGGTTGTGCCTTGAGGTTGCCCTAATGCAACATTGGCTTCCACTGATCTGCTAGAACAAGAGCCCTTTGGCTAGCAGAGAAACTCAAGACAATATACATGGGCCTTCCAGGAGGCCTTGGGACTAAAATTCACAAATTAAATGAACATACTAATATTTGGATTTGAAGGGCACTTTGTGAATACTTCACATACAGTATCCCAGGAAATCCTAAAAGACCCTGTAAAAATGTTTATTCCTGTTAAATGAAGAACTGTAGAAAAGAAAACTAAATTTCTCACTGTGGGTATTCCCCCCCCTTTTCTTTCTTCTTTTGCCAAGGTCTACGTACTATTGCTATACTGAAAGCAGTCCTCTAATGCATGAAAAGTTTTCTTCAAATTCTTGCAGACAGCTTTAATAATAATAATAATAATAAATTTTATTTATATCCCGCCCTCCCCAGCCGAAGCCGGGCTCAGGGCGGCTAACAACAATAAAACAGTACAAAAGTACAGCATAAACAACACTCTAAAATCATTCATTATAAAATTAATTAATTCAAGCCACTGATTCAAAAAATCATAATTGTCTTCATATTTTTGTTGATGTGGGATTGAAATTGCCTTAAAATTATGAGGTGGCCAAGAGTGGTGTATCCTCTGCTTATTACATCATCTTCCTGTCACTCATTGAAACACAGGAAGCCATAGAGAATGGTTCCCAAGTACCTGAGAATATTGTGAACACTGGTTTGGTATTTACATGAATTTCTTGCATTTACCTTTAAAAAACACCTCTGCTCCTATTTCTTTAAAATTGCATTAGGAGAAACCATTGGGTTTTCAGGAAGCCTAGGTATCCAAGAACATTGTGAAAAGCTGACCACTTTGTGTAAAGATAGGGTCCTCACAAAAATCCTCAGTCCCCAAGAAAGTCAAATCAGCGCAGTAACCCAAAAAAACCACTCATGAAAATTTAACCAAAACTTTATTTCCTCTTTTCTAGTTTTGGGACATGGTTTCTTCTATAGTAAGTTAATGAAGATGTGTGTTTTTTAAAAAAAAAAATATGAGGTGAGTTTTGGCATACCTCAGCAACCCACTAAATTAATGGGATTTATTAAATTAGGGATTTACTAATGTCCAAAAAACATTTAGAGGAGGTTTGATGATTTACATTTATATCCCACCTTTTCTCCAAGGAGCTCAAGATTGTCTTCACTGTTCTCACCCATTTGTTATCTCCTCACAAGAATCGAGGATAAGCTGAGAGACAGTGACTGGCTCAGGAAGCTTTGTAGCTAAATGCGAAATTAAACCCTGGTCTCCTAGGTCCTAGTCCAACACTAACCATTGTGTGATACTGGATGTACAGTATACCATTTCAACATCATCCACAGATTTATTTGGAACTGCAACAACAATGCTCTCACTCCCTTTTAGAAATGTGGAGCTGACCAAAGACAAAGAAGACAAAATGAGACACTTCAGTTGTCTAGCTAAATGTTGGTCAGCACCTTTAAATAATTATTTAAAATACAGTAATTTAAATAATTCTTCTTTTTTCCAGACATGGATGCCTGTGCCAATTGTCCAGAAGATCAGTATCCCAATAAGGAAAAAACTCAATGTATTCCCAAAGTTCCAAGCTACCTCTCTTACAAAGAGAATTTAGGGGTCAGCTTAGTTACCTTAGCTATTACTTTCTCCTTCCTCACAACCTTAGTACTCTTAACTTTTGTGAAGCACAGTGATACCCCCATAGTCAAAGCCAACAACCACACCTTGACCTACATCCTTCTCATCTCCCTCCTCCTTTGCTTCCTCTGCTCCTTCCTCTTCATTGGAAAGCCTGGAAAGCTCATCTGCCTTCTCCGACAAACAGCATTTGGCATTGTCTTCTCTGTGGCCCTTTCCAGCATTTTGGCCAAAACCATCACTGTGGTTCTGGCATTCATGGCAACCAAGCCAGGATCTAGGATGAGGAAGTGGGTGGGGAAAGGACTGTCAAATTCGATTGTCCTTTCTGGGTCATTCGTTCAAACTGCCATCTGTACTCTTTGGTTGAGAACTTCCCCTCCATTCCCAGATACAGATATGCACTCAGTCATGGGGGAAATAGTACTGGAATGTAATGAGGGTTCAGCGGTCATGTTTTACTGTGTCTTGGGCTATATGGGTTTTTTGGCCATTGTCAGTTTCTTTGTAGCTTTCCTAGCCAGGAAACTACCTGACAGTTTCAATGAGGCCAAATTTATCACTTTCAGCATGTTGGTGTTTTGCAGTGTTTGGATAACCTTCATTCCAACCTACCAAAGCACCAAAGGGAAATACATGGTAGCTGTGGAGAGTTTCTCCATATTATCCTCCAGTGCTGGATTACTGGGTTGCATATTTTTCCCTAAATGTTACATTATTGTGCTTAGGCCAGAGTTGAACAGCAAGGCACAACTGATAAACAGAAAAAAGTGAGGGGAAAGCTATAAATCCACTCAGCTCTTATATAGAGATTATTGGAAATGCTAGTGAAGGGGATGTCATGAGAATTCAAGCATAGGTGCTGTCTTCAATAAACATTCCACACTCAATTTATGGGGAATGGAGTTGAAATGGAACTATCCTGTTTCAATTTCCCCCAAACCCTACTTTAGATTTCCTTCTATGGACCTACTGCTGGAGTAACAGTTACCAATTTCAAAAAAAGGTAGCTATTCTCACTCTTCAATTGTCATTTATTTATTTTACAAATATATAAACCACTTTTAGCCAGAAACTATTATAGATGTGTACAATACACAGCAACCTATTCTTACTTAGGAAAACAAGTTGTATTTCAGAAATTCACAAGCAGGACCTGAATACAGGGGCACATTCTATTTCTCCATTTTCCAGAATCTGGTATTCAGAAGCATACTGTCTACAGCTGTGGAGGCAGCACATAGCCTCCATGATGGCTAGTAGCCATTGCGAGCCTTCTCCTCCATGGAAAAATTGTACATGAAAATTGACTTCTTTTTAATGAACGTAGTCCTACTACATATGACATAGTTTGAGGGACATTAAATATATCCGTTTAAATGCTTAAAATGCTATGTTTGAATGTATTGTATGTAAAATGCTGTGCAGAGAGCTCAACATTAGGTTGTCTCTAGCTAAATGTGGGGAAGAAAAGGGTAGATGTTTCCATTCAAATTAATTGATGACATCCCAGAAACTCTTCCAGCTACAATCTCTTTGACAGAGACTCTCCTCCTTCAAGAGAGGGGAGTGGTTGTGGGCGGGATCCAATCCAAGCCTCAAGCAGGGGGCGTTAGCCCCCTGCCGACCACTCACCTGGCTGGTGCACTACGCCCACAGGCAGGCAGCCAACCAGGCGGCTAGAAGGGGGCATGGATAGCAACTTAACTAGTTGCTGTGCCAGCCACGCGGCCTCACTTTTCGTCGTCCCTTCACGAGTCACCCACCCTCCACTCCCTTAGAGCTCAGGGTTCCAATTCTCTCTTGGCCTTGCTATGGACCTTAGGTTGGTCGCCCTGGTTGGCCGGGGGGGCCTTGTAGGAATTTTTCCATTTGGCATTAGGCTTTGTGGTTTTTTTCGCCTACCTCGTAGCAATCGTCACAACTTTTGTGGTATTGGTGGGTAGGTTAGGCACTGGAATATGTTGCGGTGTGTGGAAGGGCTAGGTGTGGCCATCGCCTACGCCTTCAATTTTTGGGTATTCCATTAAAGGAATCCGGTGGTCGTGGATCCTGTCTGATGCCTGTGTGGCGGGGGGCCATGGCACGACCCTCGGTGACATCAGGGGAGAGCTTATAGTTGGATTAGCATCAACAGGCTCCACCTACTGGTGAATAAACCCCCTTTTCAGACTCACCCCTCTCCGAGTGGGTGGAGTCAAGTCACGTGATCCAATGCCTAAGCCAATACCTTTTCACTTGCTGTAATCAATAAAGTTGTGGCCTTTTCTTGCCCATTAACCTTATATTACTTGTCCTTGTGTCTTCATTTCACTACGCGGGGATCAGGTCCTCGAACCACAACAGGAAGATGAAACCCGAGAACTCAGTGTCCCAGTCAGTCGTTGAAGCTCAGGAATGATGAACACGCAAGATGCTTACATAGGCTCTCTCTGTGGGACCAGAGAAAGAAAATTTATTGAACTGTATTAAGGACTAAAAAGAAGATGGGACCACATTGCTTGCTGTTTAAAAACAATGTGTTACTTTGTATTTTGCAATTTTTGGTAACTAGCTTGAGACTGTTCTGCAATAAAGCTTTGAAACTTATTTTTGTGATGGAGAGCAAAGGCATTTATACTCTTCACAATGTCCAGATAAGGGATTCTGTTTGCAACAGCTCTTAACAGAGGCTGCTTTCATTCTTTCTTAATAGTTTCAAGATGCTTTGGAGCAGGTTCAAACTGTGTTGCTGCTGTTCCGGGTAAATAAACAAGGAGATGCTGCAAATCACTTCCCATGTAATTTTGTGTCGAATGGTTGAGTACACAGGAATACTAAATAAAAAAGCTATGGGTGCCCTCAGATATTGTTACGTATGGCTGTATCCTAATTTAGATCACATATATCTGTGCCATTCTTGGCAGCCGTACAAGATGCACTAACCAAGTAATTAGCTCCATATTATTTAGAAAATGAAAGCTCCACCACCATCCCTGAAATCACTAGAATGATTTGTAAGTGAATTTAATTCTAGCTCTGTGCAGAAGCAACAAGATTCATTTTTTAAACCCCTTCATCTTTTATGCATAATGCAACTTCAAAAGCAAACAGCACATTCAAAATTGATAATAATAGCTATTATATTAAAGAAATTGCTGGTTTCCCCATAGCAAACTTGGCAATCAGTGTTTGAAAAAAGCTACAAAACATACACTGTTCAGAAATGAAGCCAGGGATAGGCAGGGCTCTGCCAAGCTTTCTTCTTGCCCAATGAATTTTACACTTTCCAGATTCTTATTGTGAAAAACTGTGCCTTGACTGGGTATTAATTAACATCCCTGCACATTGCCTCACCACTGTCACATATGGACTTTGTGACAAATGACTGGACATTCAAATAGCTATAAAGCACATTTTAGAAAATTATAAAGCACACCAAAGCAAAGCATTAATATTTATAGCTGAATAGCTGTATATGATATCTATCTTTCTATCACACATTCTTATAAAATAAAGTAAGGAGATAAAGCATTAGATCCAAACTAACTCACCTGTTAAGCATGACTTCCACTGAAATCAACAGTCATACCCTAACTTAAATTCTACTGATTTCAAGTAACTTAATCTGTGGGAATCCAACCCAATAAGAACATGTGGTTCAGAGAAACTTAGGAATAGGGAACATAAATTAATTATAAACCTACAGCATGGATGCTATAAGAGGATAAGCTACAGATCAGTAAGAATATCATCCACTATTCAAAAGAGGCCATAGTAACATTGCTATCATCTACATTTAATGCTATAGTTGGAAAAATGGAAATCTGTGTTGGGAGGAGGTATTTTGTCAACAAAATCATGCTGGTGGTGATGCTGTTGCTTGTACAGCTCTGTCACACAGTGTGCAGGACATATTCTATAAATTGCAGAATATATGATGATCTCTTCCCTATTTCTCATGAATTTTACCAGCCAGGAGACCTTCTCATTGGCGGGATTGTTTCTCAAGCCTTCTTTCTGTATAACAACCCCTCTTTTGTGGAACAGCCTACAAAAATCACGATTGGTGAACCTATGTAAGGCACTGTTTCCTTGTTCTCTCTCATTCTGTAATATGTCCAGGCCAAAATAAATATCTAGAGATGCAACATTATGGGGAAATATGCTTAAATAACAGTTTGTTTTCTTTCTGTCGTGAGAATGGTGACATTCCTGCAACTTTCCTACTTGTTAATTTGCATTTCCTACCACCTTCTATGTGACTTTGCTTGACATAAATGCTAGTATGTTTTCTTCCAGGATACCTTTGCAATGAATGGATTCTTTTTATTTTTATAGGATTTCTAAAGAACAACCAAATGATGAATTATGCCTTTCTATAGTTTTGTCACACTTATTCTTCCCACACTTTCTTCCCTCTCATCCTTGGCCTCCATCACTGCCTTCTCCACTGCACTTCCAATCCTCAGTTCTTTTTAATATTTAATATTATTATTTTTTCAATGTTTGTTTCTTTTAGAAATAATATAATAATCTTTATTGAGGTTCAACAACCCATAACATAGATTCAGAATAAATAATATATATATATATATACAGACAACCTCCCAGGGAAGGGAGACCAAAGTGTTATTTGTTTAGTCATGGGTATGTTGATCTTTGATTCGTATGACTGAAAACTTGCCACGTTTCTTTCTTCATATTTTTTACAGCTCTGCAGTTTCCATGGTCTGTTCTCACCTTTCTAGTTCCTTCAGTTGACTTTGTATAATTTGTACATATTTTTGCCTATTTCTTGTTTCATTGAAAGAGTTGGCACAAAGTTTCTCAGTGTATTGGGTAAGTGATAAAGAAATGAATGAAGAGTTTCACAGTATAAGTTTCATCATTTAGACTTTGCTTTTAAATAACTAACAGAAAATTATAATTGCCACATCTATCTGTTTACTTTATCATGAGTTAGGTTTTGTTGTTGGCACTGAAAGGGATTCACTCCAGTAAATTTAGGAACAGCACAAGAATTATCCTACAATATTTTGATGATTTAGTTTTTCATGGGGTGAATAATTTATCTAAACGTCTTACTTTATTTTAACTTGATCCATTATCGTCTATGGTTTTCCGATACAACTCAAATTGGGAAGCATACAGCTGAGTGATGACAAAGATTACACCTGCATTTTTTCATTGCTGTTGCTGCTGTTTTATTAAAATTATGTTATCTCTTATTGCAGTTCAACTCCTAAGAACTATCAGCACATCCTGGCCTTAGCATTTGCTGTCAAAGAGATAAATGAGAATCCCCACATCTTATCAAACATGTCTCTGGGGTTCCAAATTCTCAATAGCTACTACACTGGAAGGATGACCTATAAGGCCACCCTGAGCTTGCTTTGCACAAGGCATAGGTTTGTCCCGAATTTCAAGTGCCACCACCAGAACAATCTGATAGCTGTCATTGGAGGAAGCATCTCGGAGATCTCTGCCAATGCTGCAATCATTTTAGCAACTCACAAGACTCCACAGGTTAGCTCCATGAATGAGGGTATGGGAATTTAACAAATGTGGAACATCATCTTGATATTGAATGAGCATTTGATATTTATCACAGTTATATCTTGGGTAGCAAATTGGTTAAATATGGGCTTGAGGACAATGGGTGTGTTTGCAAGGCATACTAAGCAAAGCTGGCATAGCTGGCATGGCTGGCATAGTTGTTGTTCCACCCTGCGGTTAAAATTCAGGAGAGGAGGAAGGCAGAACTGAGTTCCTCTCCAGGAGCCCACATATTCACACACATAAATAAGCCATATGTTGGCTTTCTGAGATACACAAACCAGACCAACATATTAATTTTATTTATTTATTTGTGCCGATTCACAGATAATTGGAAAATAGTATTCAAAAGTGCTCATCAAAAGAATTGAATAAGCTTGTCAACATTTTTATCAATGACTTAGATGAAGAGTGGCACATGCTGCAAGACTGGGATAATTGTTAACATCAATGAAGGCAGAAATAGCATTATTATTTTGTTGTTGATGTAATGGATATTACATAGGAGATTAAATTCAAGCAACACAAAGCAATGTATTTAAGCAAAACAATCAGATGCACAGCTACAGGATGTAGGATGTCTGATGGCAGTAGTAGTATGTATGGAAATTGTATCATAATTACATTTGCTGAGAAAAAGTCAAAACCTAAGTCAGCAATAGGAAAAGAGTCAATAAAATTTTAGTTTGCTTTAATGGAACCATGGTTTCTATGTTAAAATGCTCAGTTATTTAACATCAAGTCACAGTACCTCCTTGGGGGTATTAGATGCAGTTTTCCATGTTCACTTTAGGATAAAATACACCAAGAAAATCATTAAAATACAACAATAAATTACTGGATCACATTACAAAAAGACATAGGCTGAAATAGGCTGAAACCAACATTGGACACATGACTGAAGTTCATTGGGCACCAGAGAAGTTCAACAATGGAACTGATTAGCAGGATTTATGAGTGGAAATGAACATCCGGCAATGGAGCAATGGGGGTATTCTCCCTTAACAGAGTTCTTCAAAGTGGGTCTAGGAAGTCATCCGTTTAAGATCTTCTGGCTCTGTATTGGAGAACATGCCCCACCTCAACCCTACAATGATTCAATGATTTAACACTCACTATTTTTCCATCAGAAAAATATGTATATATTTTATTTTAGCTAACTTATGGATCATTTTTGCCAGTACAAGGTGTCAAAAGGCTATTCCCATTTTTGTACCAGATGGTCCCAAATGAAACCTACCAGCATATGGGAATTGTGCAGTTACTTCAGCATTTTGGATGGACGTGGATTGGGCTCTTGGCTGTGGATGATGACAGAGGGGACAGGTTTTTACAGACAATTGTGCCAATGCTTTCCCAGAATGGTATCTGTTCTGACTTCATAGTAAGATTGCCAAAATGGAATTACCTAGATGAAATTCTAAACAGGATTGTGCAGCAATGGGAATATTATGAAGTGATCTTCGATAGAAAAGCCAATGTGTACTTTGTATATGGAGAACCTCCATCCTTTCAAGGCTTGAGACTGTTGCTGTTTCTAGCACCATTCTTCAAACTGCCACCTCTGGGCAAAGTGTGGATTGTAACTTCCCACTGGGATTTTGAATCACTCTCTATTCAAAAGATATGGGATATACAAGCCTTCCATGGTTCTATATCCTTCACTGTGCACTCAAATCAGCCAGTAGGATTCCAAAGGTTCATTCAGATGGTAAAACCTTCCTGGTCAAAATATGATGGTTTTATCCAGGACTTCTGGGAACAGACATTCAACTGCTCATTAAAAATGCCTAAGGAAAATAAAGTGGAAGAAAAGAAAACCTGCACAGGGGAGGAGAAACTGGAGAGCCTTCCTGGAATTTTGTTTGAAATGAACATGGTTGGCCACAGCTACAATGTCTACAATGCTGTCTATGCTGTGGCACATGCTTTGTATGCCGTATACAAATCCTATTTCAGACACAGAAGAATGGTAGATGAAAGAAAATATGCATTTCCAGAGGTGCAACCATGGCAGGTAATTCAATACTGTTTACAACATTCATTCATTTATCCATTCTTTCTGAGTGAATTTTGAGACAGAGCTAAAAAGCAGGTGCTGATCTGCATAAAACAATTCTAACAAATTTGATTTTTTTGTTTTCCTTATATTTTACCAGCTTTTCACATTTTTAAAAGTACTGACAATAACATGGAATAGTGTTATATTATCATGGAGCAAATAGAGAGCAAGGATCATATAAAGCTTTAAGTCCACAAATATATTTTCCATAAGAGCAGGAGAGCAAAAAAGAGGGAAAAACTTAAACAGGTTGCTGTGAATCTCACACAATTAATTTCAAGACCTAATTGTCCCTTTGTTAATATTTCTTTCAATCTAGGTCCATCACTTTCTAAAGCACATTATATTCAACAACAGTGCTGGAGACAGTGTGTACTTCAATGAAAATAGAGAACTAGTTACTGGTTTTGATGTTACAAACTGGATGCTCTTCCCTAATGGCTCAGTGGTTAGAGTGAAAGTTGGAAGTCTGAAACCTCAGGTTCCTCCAGCCAAACAGTTAACCACTAAAGATGACCAAATTACATGGCACCCATGCTTTAATCAGGTTTGTTGTAACTGCTATGCTGGGTAGCATTCACCAACCCTATTCAACTGCCCACACCACACAAAATTAAAATCACATGCTGAGTGGGCAGGAGCTAATTTGCTGCACCCACTCTTTGTTGACCATCCCAATTACTTCCACATACTAATGACTGACTGTCAATTCTACCCACATAGGCTGCTAATGCAAGTTAGAACTTTTACTATGAAGAGTTCAAAATACTTGTGGGGGGACTGCCCAAGTAAAAAAAAAAAAAGGCCTTCTGTAGATATTGAGCTACAGAAATTAGTGACATGTGTGGCAACTGGGGCCTTGGATTCATGGACACACACACACACACTATATTGGAGGAGAATGATTTAAGGGAGCTAATCACTTATTACTGATATCTTTTATAAAATTCTGTACAGGTGCTTCCTATTTCGGTATGCAATGACTACTGCTATCCTGGCTACAGCAGGAAAAAGAAGGAGGGGGAGAAATTTTGCTGCTATGATTGTTCTCAATGTCCAGAAGGGAAGATTTCTTACCAGAAGGGTAGAAGTCATAATATAAAGAGATAAGCAAATCTCATTAACAAGACCTACTAGTTTATTCATGTATTTATTTGGGGAGATTCATAAAATATACAAGAATATCATTCTCAATACAGATTTTTCTAATCAACCACATAAAATGGTGAAGATGAATTAGGACCAACTATATATGTTGCCTTAAGGGACGGGTGTGGCACTGTGGGTTAAACCACCAACCTAGCAGTTCGAAAGCACATCAAAGTGCAAGTAGATAAATAGGTATCGCTCCTGCAGGAAGGTAAACGGCATTTCCGTGTGCTGCTCTGGTTCGCCAGAAGTGGCTTAGTCATGCTGGCCATATGACCCGGAAGCTGTACGCCGGCTCCGTCGGCCAATAAAGCGAGATGAGCGCCGCAACCCCAGAGTTGGTCACTACTGGACCTAATGATCAGGGGTCCCTTTACCTTTACCTTTTACTTACATCCTAATTTATAGCTGTAGTAATTCTTGGCATGTGAAAAGTACTTTGTGAGTGCTTGAAGTACTGCCACAGAAAACACCACAGAACTCTTATAACCACCCAACAAGAGAAATTAATATTATTATTCCCACATTGTAGATTAGTGCAAAACTGAGAAAGAAAGGCTTGTAAAAAGGTTACCTAATGATATAATGTCTTGTGATGAGGTCAGAATCAGGAATTTATTGTTTTCCTTAAAAATACAGTGGTACCCCGCAAGACGAACGCCTCGCAAGACGGAAAACCCGCTAGACGAAAGGGTTTTCCGTTTTGGAGGCGCTTCGCAAAACGAATTTCCCTATGGGCTTGCTTCGCAAGACGAAAGCCCATAGGGAAATCTCTGGGACAGCGGGGAAGCGCAGCGCGTCTTCCCCACTGTCCTCGGACCTCCTCCGAAGGCTGGCGGCGGGGCGGAGAGACCTCTTCCCGCCGCCAGGCTTCGGAAGGATGCTCCGAAGCTAAAGAAGCTAAAGCAGCCTGCCGCGACCCTCTCCCGGCTGGAGAGGTGACGCGCGCCTATGGCAGGAGCCTCCATAGCCGAGCGTCACCTCTCCAGCCGGGAGAGCGCGCGCGGGGCTAAAGCAGCCCCCCGCGACCCTCTCCCAGGTGACGCGCGCCTATGGCAGGAGCCTCCATAGCCGAGCGTCACCTCTCCAGCCGGGAGAGCGCGCGCGGGGCTAAAGCAGCCCCCCGCGACCCTCTCCCAGGTGGCGCGCGCCTATGGCAGGAGCCTCCATAGGCGCCCGTCACCTCTCCAGCCGGGAGAGCGCGCGGGGGGCTAAACCAGCCCCCCGCGACCCTCTCCCGGCTGGAGAAGTGACGCGCGCCTATGGCAGGAGCCTCCATAGGCGCCCGTCACCTCTCCAGCCGGGAGAGCGCGCGCGGGGCTAAACCAGCCCCCCGCGACCCTCTCCCAGCTGGAGAAGTGACGCACGCCTATGGCAGGAACCTCCATAGGCGCCCGTCACCTCTCCAGCCGGGAGAGCGCGCGCGGGGCTAAACCAGCCCCCCGCGACCCTCTCCCAGGTGACGCGCGCCTATGGCAGGAGCCTCCATAGCCGAGCGTCACCTCTCCAGCTGGGAGAGTGCGCGCGTGGGGCTAAAGCAGCCCCCCGCGACCCTCTCCCAGGTGACGCGCGCCTATGGCAGGAGCCTCCATAGGTGCGCGTCACCTCTCCAACCGGGAGAGCGCGCGCGGGGCTAAAGAAACCCCCCGCGACCCTCTCCCGGCTGGAGATGTGACGCGCGCCTATGGCAGGAACCTCCATAGGCGCCCGTCACCTCTCCAGCCGGGAGAGCGCGCGCGGGGCTAAACCAGCCCCCCGCGACTCTCTCCCGGCTGGAGAAGTGACGCGCGCCTATGGCAGGAGCCTCCATAGGCGCCCGTCACCTCTCCAGCCGGGAGAGCGCGCGGGGGCTAAACCAGCCCCCCGCGACCCTCTCCCGGCTGGAGAAGTGACGCGCGCCTATGGCAGGAGCCTCCATAGGCGCCCGTCACCTCTCCAGCCGGGAGAGCGCGCGGGGGCTAAACCAGCCCCCCGCGACCCTCTCCCAGCTGGAGAAGTGACGCACGCCTATGGCAGGAACCTCCATAGGCGCCCGTCACCTCTCCAGCCGGGAGAGCGCGCGCGGGGCTAAACCAGCCCCCCGCGACCCTCTCCCAGGTGACGCGCGCCTATGGCAGGAGCCTCCATAGCCGAGCGTCACCTCTCCAGCTGGGAGAGTGCGCGCGTGGGGCTAAAGCAGCCCCCCGCGACCCTCTCCCAGGTGACGCGCGCCTATGGCAGGAGCCTCCATAGGTGCGCGTCACCTCTCCAACCGGGAGAGCGCGCGCGGGGCTAAAGAAACCCCCCGCGACCCTCTCCCGGCTGGAGATGTGACGCGCGCCTATGGCAGGAACCTCCATAGGCGCCCGTCACCTCTCCAGCCGGGAGAGCGCGCGCGGGGCTAAACCAGCCCCCCGCGACTCTCTCCCGGCTGGAGAAGTGACGCGCGCCTATGGCAGGAGCCTCCATAGGCGCCCGTCACCTCTCCAGCCGGGAGAGCGCGCGCGGGGCTAAAGCAGCCCCCCGCGACCCTCTCCCAGGTGACGCGCGCCTATGGCAGGAGCCTCCATAGCCGAGCGTCACCTCTCCAGCCGGGAGAGCGCGCGCGGGGCTAAAGAAGCCATAGCCCCGCGACCCTCTCCCAGCTGGAGAAGTGATGCGTGACTATGGCAGCAGCCTCTGACTATGGCAGCAGCCCTGAAGGATGCACCGTGGGGGGGGGCGGAGAGACCTTCTCCCCGCGCCAACCTTCGGATGGCTGTCCTGAAGACTTGGGGTGGGAGAAGGGTTTTCCTTCCCACCGCCAACATTCAGAATGCTGTTCTGAATGTTGGCGGTGGGGAGGAAAAACCCTCCTCCCACGCAAGCCCCGGGAACAGAGGGAAAGCACTGCGCGCCTTCCCCTCTGTTCCCGTACCTGTGCTGAAGGCTTGCGGTGGGGAGAAAAGCCCTTCTCCGCACCGCCAGCCTGGCAAGCGGTTTCCCTAGGAACGCATTAATTGATTTTCAATGCATTCCTATGGGAAACCGTGCTTCGCAAGACGAAAAACTCGCAAGAAGAAAAAACTTGCGGAACGAATTAATTTCGTCTTGCGAGGCACCACTGTACTAAGTACATCAGCTCAATTTAAGTCACTATGTAGAACTGCAAAAAAGCAGCAAGATGCATTCTGGCTACATCCAAAACTACTTAACATCTTCCTTTTTTCAGACATGGATAACTGTGTCAGTTGTCAAGCAGACCAGCATCCCAACAACGACCAAACTCGATGCATTCCCAGGGTTATAAGCTACCTCTCTTACAAAGAAGACTTAGGGATCCTCCTAGTTATCCTTGCCATTTCTTTCTCTCTGATCACAACATTAGTACTTGGGACTTTTGTGAAGTACAAGGACACTCCCATCGTCAAAGCCAACAACCGGACTCTCACCTACATCCTCCTTGTAGCCCTACTCCTTTGCTTCCTTTGCTCCTTGCTCTTCATTGGACAGCCTGGAAAGGTGACCTGTCTTCTCCGACAAACAGCTTTTGGCATCATCTTTTCTTTGGCCCTTTCCTCTGTACTGGCAAAGACCATCACTGTGGTAGTGGCATTCATAGCAACCAAACCTGGAGGCAAGATGAGGAAATGGGTGGGGAAAGGATTGTCTAATTTTATTGTCCTTGCCTGCTCCTTTATTCAAGCTGGTATTTGTACTTTATGGTTAAGTACTTCACCTCCATTCCCAGATATAGATACACACTCATTGAGTGGGGAAATGATATTGGAATGTAATGAGGGCTCAGCTACCATGTTTTACTGTGCCTTCGGGTATATGGGCATCCTATCCATTGTGAGCTTCATTGTGGCTTTCTTTGCCAGAAAGTTACCCGACACTTTCAATGAAGCCAAATTTATCACTTTCAGCATGTTGGTGTTTTGCAGTGTTTGGTTGTCTTTTGTTCCAACCTACCTGAGCACTAAAGGAAAATACATGGTAGCTGTGGAGATCTTCTCCATCTTGTCCTCTAGCGCTGGCTTACTGGGTTGCATCTTTTCCCCTAAATGCTACATAATTGTGTTGAGGCCTGAGATGAACACTAGGGAGCAACTAACCAGGAGGGGAAAAAATGAAAGAATATAAGTTCATCTCTTTTTTCTCCAACTCTTAGACATATTTCACTGGAAATGCTATTGAGAAGAATAGATAGGAATTCATGGATGGGTGTTTTCACACATTTCTTCTTCTTCTGAGTAGACTTACACTAGGTACAGCTCCCTCACTTGACCCACTATAAGATTTTTCTTCTGTAGCAGACTATAGTGCTGCTACTTGAACAGTAGCAGGGGGGTGGGGTCATGGGAGCAGGATGGATTAGCATGCAGCAAAAGCACAAATCCCTGTGAGACATCTGGGATCTATCATAAGTTCTCCTTAATTTGTATAATAATGTTTTCACAAAACTTCTCATGCTCCATGCTTTCCTGTATATGTAACTGGAAATAAATTCATGTGTTTCATTCAAATTGTGTTGCTCCACAGGGTTGCCAAAACATTTTGGAGAATAATCTGGAGCAACACCTGGGGTTTCAGACATACATATTAATATAACTTTTGGGTGGCTAACTGCTTAAGCTTGGTGTGGACTCTTTGTTCCAGATGAATGGATATGTGAAAGAACATCCTGTAACATTTTAAAAGGGATAGGTGCAATCAAAGGCAATTTGTTCTGCCTCAGCACAGTATTTGACAGGGCTCCAGTTTAAAAAAAGGCTTCCTCACAGGGATGAGAGTATAGTCTTTGTGGGGCTAAATCTCAGTTGAATCAAAAGCATTTCTTGTTCAGATTCCATAACCTGGTTATACAAATTCCAGTATGGTAGTCTGCATTAGCAGTAACATTAATCCAATAAGCAGGCCATAGTTAAAATATTCCAACACCAGGTTGGTCTTCAACAGACAGGTTTTTTCATTTCCTAATCTATATTACATGGGCTAACAGTTCTAGGGCTAATGCTATACTGGAGCTCAGATTCTTCATAGGTCAACCAAAGAAACTATTTCATTGAATTAGGACTGAATGAAGGTATAACAAAATTCAGAAATGGGGAAATGGGTGGTTAAAAGAGTTTTGTGTCCACTTTCCCCCAGAGCTGGATTATTGCATCTGTTCCCCTAAATGCTGCATCATTTTGTTGATGGCTGAGCTGAACAACTGGAAGCAAAGAGGAAAGAGACAAAAGAATGAAAGAATATAATATAATTTCATTTCTTTTTTCTGTTCTTAGATGTATTTAACTGAAAACATTGATGGGAAGAATGTTGCAAGAGTTTATATATCGCAACAGCACTTCTCTTTCTGTTGTGTTAAGAAAGGAAAGACACTTCCAGTATAGTGAAAGTTCTGCCTCTTCCCACCAGCCAGCATGGGATTAGTAGTTAAGATCCGATGATTCCTGATGGAGCTTCTTCTGCACTTTATATACAGGTCCAAATTAAAGACAAAGGAAGGATAGAAGCCCAGCAGGCCTGTTCCACTTTTAACAAAGCCATTATTGTCAGATACTGTCAGATACTGCCCTTTCTTTGCTTCCTAGGGTGATGTGGACTGATGCTATAATGGAGCTTGGATTCACACCACGTGTGAATCTTTTCAGTGCTCAGGGGTAAACTAGACTGGGTGATGATATAACAAAAAATCAAGAAGCAGGAAATAGGTGAAAAAAATATTGGACATGCACTTACTAAATGGGAGTTTGGTACATTTGGACAAACAAAGGCTTGTTCTTCATTATCATCTTCACTGTGGCTTTCCTAGCCAGAAAGTTATCCTGCAATTTCAATGAAGCCAAATTTATCAAACTGACAACATGGGATTTTGCTTTTGTTTTGTTTTTGGAAACAGTTATTTATTGCACCAATCTACTTGAGCATCATTGGATAAAGTTGCTCATGATAAATGTAGAGGATAAATCTATACTCCACTTTCTCTACAATTCCCAGAGTTACCCCTGAAGAGGAATTGAGTGTTAAACCACCCTGGGAATTGTAGCTCTGGCAGAGGAATAGGGATCTCCTAAGAATTGTGTAATGATTTGTGAGTGAACATAATTTTAATTCTTGGCAGAGGTATCTTGGACTTACTGGGATATGTGCCTCTAGCTATCTATTATCCCTCAGAATTGTAGGAATTATGTGTGTGTTTGTGTGTGTGTGTGTGTGTTGACTCTTAACAGTTTTTTCATGTGTGATGCAACTCCAATAGTCAAAAGCACACTAGAACATTTTTTAATACCTATCATTATGAAAATGATTTTGCTTCTTTTACACAATGGACACCTGGTGCCTGTTAGGGCCATGAATGATCAGCATATGATAAAAGATATAAATCTTAATGATGTTGAGAACACTATTTAGGCACAGACACCACTGACATTTCTGTGTGTGATTTCCCCTCCTCATTTATTCAGTTAGTTCTGCCACATTTTTTATCTAAATAATGACTATCCCTCATTCTCAACCTTTCTACTTGCCCAGTTAATCTTCTGCATCCAAGATTCTCATTGTGAAAACTTGGAGCTTGTTGATTAGTGATTATTAACACACACACATGGACCCTGCTTTGTCCTTATATGTCTTATGAGCATTTGGATGAATTAGTAGATATTGCCCCAAGGTTATACTATTTTTTTTACCTTTGCAAACAAAGGCAAAGTTAATACAGGTAACATATAAAACAGTAAAATCAGTGTAGTAACTCCAATCAACAGAGGCAGTAGAAAAACTGATAGCCAGAAATAATGCTGGAGTTATGGAAATATACATGGAAATATTTCCCCATGGAAATATACATGGGGAAGTAAGTTTTGTCAATAGGATCATACTTCTTCTGATGTTGCTTCTCATACTGCTTTGCCGTACTGTATACAATAAACATTCCATTAATTGCAGTATATATTATGATCCCCTCCCTATTCCTCATGAATTTTACCAGCCAGGAGATCTTATCATCGGTGAGATTGTTTCTCAAGTTGTCATCCTGTATGATAGCCTCAATTTCATCAAACCGCCTACACAGATCTTGATTAATGAACCCGTGTAAGTCATTATTCTCTCTTCCTTTCTCATTCTAAAATATACAGTGACCATAATTACTGAGGACATATCACTAAGAAATACTGTTCTTTATGTACTTTTACAATTAATGCACCCTGTGTATTTTTAGCACAACTGCAGAATAACTGCAGAAAAATACTTAAATGATTTATTACAATCATTTGTCTGCCTTCCCCCTCCCCCAATATATCCTATTTTCTTGTCTTTAAAATTTTTCATTTCATATTATCATGTATATAGGATACCATCATGTTTCATTCATAGGAACAATGGTTCTGAATAATTTGGGTTTGCTGTTCATGTTGTTTTAATAAACCAGGCTGTACTTTTTTCCCCAGTTCAGTACCAAAGAACTACCAGCATGTTCTGGCCTTAGCATTTGCTGTCAAAGAGATCAATGAAAATCCCAACATCTTATCAAATATATCTCTGGGATTCCACATCCTCAATAGCTACTACGCTGCAAGAATGACCTATAAGGCCACACTCAGCCTGCTTTCTGCACAACAGAGGTTTGTCCCTAACTTTAAGTGTCACATTCAGAACAATCTGATAGCTCTCATTGGAGGGTGCATCTCTGAAATCTCTGCTAATATGGCCATCATTTCAGCAATTCACAAGATCCCACAGGTAAGCTGTGTGCATGAGTGTGTGGAGATTTCACAATTGTGACACACAATCTAGATTTCAACAAAGTTTTGAAAATGTGTCCGGCTATATTTTGGTTAACAAATAGATTAAATGATGGCTAAGTGATAGTATCATCTAGTGCGGTGGTCTTCAACCAGTGTGCCATGGCACCCTGGAGTGCTTTGAACGATAGTCAGGGGTGCTGTGGGCAACACTCACCTCTGTCCCTCCCCCCTCTGATACCCTCTGGCATCTCTGCCTCCCAAAGGCTTGTATGGCCTCATGTTCAGTTTGGTCCAGTCTCCATCTGGCAACTAAGGTGGGGTGGCATCTTCTTCCCAAGGCTCCCCATAAGTCAGTGTGAGGAGGCACTTTACTTTGGTTAGGGAGCGACTCAGAGACCAGGAGCGGTGGCAGCAGCTGCCCAGAGGAATCCAAAGGAGAGGGGAGAGGAAAAGAGGCTGAGGGAACACTCCACAAAGGAGGGTGTTCAAAAAGGGGTGGTGGGCTGCTGGCTCTGCAGGCAAGGGGTGGCATAAGTGGACTCTGAAGCTTAGAGAATGTAGCTGGCCAAGGGAGCCATGGACTCAAAAAGGTTGAAAACCTCTGATCTAGTGGATAGACAGCTTATTAGAAGACAGTATTCATTTACTGCTCATCAAAGACTAAACATCAAAGTGGAAGGAGGTCAAACCGGACCCCCCCCCCAAAAAAAAGCTCTATTATGAGCCTGAACTGAAATTTTCAATAATGTTATCACTGACTCAGGTATAAGGTTGGAAGTAATCCATATCAATCTGTATCTGATAAAAAGTGGAAAGGTTATTAACATTTCTAAGGATAGGTATAAAGCTCAAAATGCAAAGTATAAATTTCTATAGCATGTAGTATACATGACAGTTGTCGTACGTGTGAAAGACGTCTAAGAATGATTGATCTAGCTATTTATCTCTTTATATCGCTTTCTATACACTGTTAATCCTCCGCTGGGAGCCTAGGGCAGCTAACAGTATGAAAGTCTAATAAGAATCATGAAGCAATAATATTACAACAGTTAAAAACATCAGCAAAAGACAATGAGCAATCATTTAAACAGGCCTGGACAAATAAAAACAAAGTTTTAAAGTTACTTATAAGATTTGCTAGCAGGAGCAAGGGAAAGCAAGCAAATCTTACTCGGAAAAGAGTACCATAAACTGGACACCATAACAAATCGTTCCCTGCTTATGGCTCTGGTTACATTTGAACAAAATCTAAATATCAGGCTGAATTAATGAAACCATAGTTTCCAAGGTACTAAAACTAATAGCTGAATTTTATTTGTGCTACTCAGACCTCATGTGACATGTTGTGTCCATTTCAAGGCTGCTGACATACAGTGTATATGCTATATAGGCACAGGTCTAAGGGAGGACTGGGAATGCTAAATCTCAAACTACTGCACAGCATTTCAAATCAAATCATTAATCCCACTGGTTAGGGACGAAACAGAAGATGCCTGGGTCCATATTGAACTTGTCCCTTTCATGTCAACATTTTCCTTCTTAAAATTATCAGATTCAGTGATAAAGGGAATTGACAGAGCCCTTTTAAAAACGATGTTGACATGGAAAAATTAAGGGAAAATCTTGCCCCTTGAAACATCCCCATTAACTCCCTGCTTTCAGACAATAATATAAATATTGGCAATATAAAGAATGGGAAAACAGAGGTTTATATGGAATTTGAGATTTACCATGTAAACGCAGAGCAATAACCAAAGAAAGGTTAAAGGAAAATCTAAAAGATCTGCACCCTAATTGGCTCCAGCTTCTCCAATATTGTTAATACATTGCTAAATATGTTGAAGAAAGAGGGAAAGAATCTCATTCTTTTAAGGTATTTGAATCAAGGTGTATTGAATCCCATTGTGATATGAAAGGTATGGTTTCATTGATTTGTGGAATATTACATGGGAAATGCAAAGCGTTTACACATAGTATGGGAGACTGAATTAGACTGAATTAGGCAAAGAAATCAATGGCAATGAGTGGGATGGAATATGGAGGATCCCATCTTCAAGAACCATTTCATCTTACCTTCAAGAAGCTACTTTGTTCTCTCTTTTTTTGTAAATAATTTTTATTAATTTTTAATTAATAACATTCCAATTGGTAATGAATCAAATCAAATCTTGCCACATCATAATACAAACAATAAGGCCAATTATACATTCCAAATTAAATAAATTTCAGGAGGACTTCCCATGTTCTGGATGTTGAGAGAAAGTCTCTTTCATTTGTTCCTGCATTCTTCTCTCTTGTTTCCCCCCAGTTTCATAAGTCTGATCTTAACCCATTGTTTTATCTTCACAGTCCCCGCTGTATGACTCTCTGTCATGTCCAACAAATCTGTATTTCTATTAACATGCAGGAGGCACTTTATTCTGTGTTGTTGTCCTTTGATTAATTTTCAGTACAGTCCCCTCAGTGGCCTCAGGCTTTCATTTCAGCATTTTATCTTCCAGGCTCTGGGCTTTCTTCCAACTCTCCTTCATTTAATAAGATTTATGGCGCAGCTGAGGGGACGCGGGTGGCACTGTGGGTTAAAGCCTCAGCGCCTAGGACTTGCCGATCGAAAGGTCGGCGGTTTGAATCCCCGCAGCGGGGTGCGCTCCCGTTGCTCGGTCCCAGCGCCTGCCAACCTAGCAGTTCGGAAGCACCCCCGGGTGCAAGTAGATAAATAGGGACCGCTTACTAGCGGGAAGGTAAACGGCGTTCCGTGTGCTGCGCTGGCTCGCCAGATGCAGCTTGTCACGCTGGCCACGTGACCCGGAAGTGTCTGCGGACAGCGCTGGCCCCCAGCCTATAGAGTGAGATGGGCGCACAACACTAGAGTCTGTCAAGACTGGCCTGTACGGGCAGGGGTACCTTTACCTTTACCTATGGCGCAGCTATCTTTCAAGTCTTTTAATGAGTTAGTATTCCAAATGTGAGTCTTCCATAGTAAAGCAGTGCCGTGGGGTATATTTCAATAATTATTTGGTGGTTGTTTAGTTTAGTTCCTCTAAGATCTGAACCTGCTCCCCTGGGCCCTAGGGAAGCACGCCAAAATCAAAGATTCACCCTCACTTTCACATCACACCATATATTAAAAAGAAAAGTCCAGAAAGGTCACATTGGATATCTGCTCACCTGGAGCTTCGGGTGTGCAGCCATTGCTGCATGGCACAGCTGTGGTGGTTCTGGGAGGCTACCCTCTTCCAGGTGTGGCCAGAGGAGGGGATGGCTGGCGCTGCCCACCCCTAGCTGCATCAGACCATCAGGTAAGGGCGAGCAGTGCCAACACAGCCAATTAGAGGCTGGGGCTTGGGGCTGAAAGCAGCCCACCCCTAGCCTATTTAAGGGGGTGGTCAGGTGTTAGCCACTGAGCAAATCTGTGTTCACCTCCCAGACCATAGGACCCAAACTCTGCAATTCTAAGATTGTAAGCAGGATGTTGAACATGTCAGCCTACTGGATTCTCTGCAATTATAATGAATTATCTTGTAATGTTTTTGATGGCCCACAGCTTCCCTGCAACTTTCTGATTCAGGGGCATAACATTATATTTTCCATCTAAACAGCTCACTTATGGATCATTTCTGCCAGTACAAGATGACAAAAGGCTCTTTCCGTTTTTGTACCAGATGGTCCCAAATGAAATGTATCAGCACAAGGGAGTTGTGCAGTTACTTCAGCATTTCAGGTGGACATGGATTGGGCTTTGGGCTGTGGATGATGACAGAGGCGACAGGTTTTTACAGACAATTCTGCCAATCTTTTCCCAGAATGGTGTATGCTATGACTTCATAGTAAAAATGCCAAAGTGGAATTATGTGGATGAGATGATAAAACTGGGCTTTGAACGTATGGAAAGCTATAAAATTGTCTTTGAGAGAAAAGCCAATATAATGTTTGTTTATGGAGAACCTCCTTCCTTTATGGTTTTGAGAATTTTGCTGTTGGCAGCACCATTCTTTTCACTGCCACCTTTGTGTAAAGTCTGGATTGTTACATCCCACTGGGATTTTGCATCACATTCTCTTCAGAAACTCTGGGATATACAAACATTTCATGGCTCTATGACCTTCACTGTTCACTCAAACCAGCTGATAGGATTTAATGAGTTTATTCAGATTATAAGGCCTTCCTGGACTGAAAGAGATGGTTTTATTCAGGACTTCTGGGAACAGTCATTCAGCTGTTCGCTAAAAATATCTAAGGGGCAGGAGGAAGAGGAGAAGAAAGGCTGTACTGGGATGGAGAGATTGGAAGACATTCCTGGAATTTTATTTGAAATGAAGGCAACAGGCCACAGCTACAATGTCTACAATGCTGTATATGCTGTGGCACATGCTTTGCATGCAATATATAAATCCAACTTGAAACACAGAAGATTGAGAAGAGACAGACTGGCATTTCAGAATGTACAGTCATGGCAGGTAATTACAACTCAAAACTTTTTTTAACAAAACCAGGGTAGATTTTGTTCCCAAGGCACTCCAATTTTGAGGAATACAATCCCATTAAAAATAAATAAATATGTCTGGCTTTCTTTTTGCTCTGTTTTGGGTCAAAGGGACCCAAATGACACCAGAGGCATATTGAGTCACTATGTTTGCTTGTTTTTAGGTGACTAAGAGAGATGCTTGTGATCCTCACTTAAATACTTACAATATCTAGTTTTCCCTTTGTTCATGTTTTCTTTCAATCTAGGTGCATCAGTTTCTAAAGAGTATCGTAATCAATAACAGTGCTGGAGACACTGTGCGCTTTGATGAAAATGCTGAACAAGTTACTGGCTTTGATGTTACAAACTGGCTGATGTTTCACAATGGATCAGTGGTTCGAATCAAGGTTGGAAGACTGGAACCACAGGCTCCTCTGGGCAAAGAATTAACCATTTATGATGATCGAATTGTTTGGCATCCAAGCTTTAATCAGGTGTGACACAGCTACAAATACTTGAGTATATAAAAGGGAAAGTTTATTGTTTGACATACTCATTAATGTTCCCTCTGGCCGTATAGGTTGCTGGGGGGTTGCATTTGAATGAACCATTCATGAGCAAGCGGTGTTTGATTCTATTTTTTTCTCCCTTTCACGTGATACTGCAGAAGACTTATCTCTTATTCCTAAGCTTTCTTTTTTGTTTCTGTGCAGGTGCTGCCTATTTCTCTGTGTAATGACTATTGCTATCCTGGCTACAGCAGGAAAAAGAAGGAAATAGATAAATTTTGCTGCTATGATTGTGTTCTGTGTCCAGAAGGCACAGTCTCTCTTCATAAAGGTTGGAGGCATAATGTTCAGAGATATTAAGAAATTGTGATACCATAGCATATTAATTCTTTATTAATAATTTTATGGCTATAGTTCACAATACAAAGGGGGCATTCTTTAACCTTTTCTTTATAGTGACAATTAAGACCGCCTGTGCTTCAAGGGGTAAAGATGGATTTAATAAGAATTTAAGTTAATGAATTACTAACTGGCCACATTCCTTTTTTAAGGAGCAACTTATTAATTACCCATCAAAACCTGTCTCTCTTCTATAACTTAGCTTGTCATTAAGCACGCAAACCTTCCAAGGATCAACCAGAAACAGTCCTCTTTATCTTAAACTAAATTGCTGTACAATGTCTCTTTCTATCACACAGTGGGGGTGGGACATTTAAGTATTACAACCCATGTAATACCATCATACTGGAATACGTGAACACAGAAAGGTTTACTCTCACTAACGGGAGAGATTTCCCTTGAGTGGTTAGAAGAAATTCAGGAAGACAAAAAAGGGACTCTTGTAACTGACTGTTCAGATAAACATTGGTCAATTTCTAGAAATAACCAGCTTTTCGTTTTCTCATCAGATATGGATGCTTGTATGAAATGTCCAGAAGACCAGTATCCCAGCAAGGATCAAAGTCAATGTATTCCCAAAGTTTTAAGCTACCTCTCTTACAAAGAAAATTTAGGGATTATCTTGACTATCTTGGCAATTTCTTTTTCTTTTACCACAATTCTAGTGCTTGGAAGTTTCATGAAGCACAAGGATACGCCCATAGTCAAGGCCAACAACCGGATCCTCACTTATATCCTCCTTATCTCCCTTCTTCTTTGCTTCCTTTGTGCTTTGCTCTACATTGGACAGCCAAGAAAAGAGATCTGCCTTCTACGCCAAATGGTCTTTGGCATGGTCTTCTCTGTGGCTCTTTCCTGTGTATTGGCAAAAACAATCACTGTAGTTGTGGCATTCATGGCAACTAAACCAGGATCTGGGATGAGAAAATGGGTGGGAAAAAGACTGGCAAATTCAATTGTCCTCTTCTGCTCCTTCATTCAAGCTAGCATTTGTACTCTGTGGTTATGTACTTCCCCTCCCTTCCCAGATTCAGACATGCACTCATTGAATGGGAAAATCATACTAGAATGTAATAAGGGTTCAGAGACCATGTTTTACTGTGTCTTGGGCTATATGGGTTCCCTTGCCATAATCAGCTTCATTGTGGCTTTTCTTGCCAGGAAGTTACCTGACAGCTTCAATGAGGCCAAGTTCATCACTTTCAGCATGTTGGTGTTTTGCAGTGTGTGGTTATCCTTTATTCCAACCTACCTGAGCACCAAAGGAAAATACACGGTGGCTGTGGAGATCTTCTCCATCTTATGCTCCAGTGCTGGATTACTGGGTTGCATCTTTTCCCCTAAATGCTACATAATTTTGTGCAGGCCTGAGCTGAACAACAGAGAGCAAATAATGGCCAGAAAAAAGTGAGAGAATATAAATTCATTTCTTTATAATTCTCACTTTAAAATTCACTGGAAATCCACACCACGAGATTATTAGTCAAAATAAATTAAAACAATTCTTTAAAAAGATAGTTAAAAAGACTCTTCTTAAAAACCTAAAAACTCCTTTAAAAGAATCAAGTCTTATTAGAGATACAGACTCTGAAGAAGTGTGCATGCACACGAAAGCTTATACTTAAAAAAACTCAGTTGTTCTCTAAGGTGCTACTTTATAATTTTAAAAATCTTTTAGAAGGATTCTTTTAAAGACTTTCTTAGACCATATGCCTTTTTTTGAAGACTTGATTCTTTTAAAGGAGTTTTTATGTTTTTAAGAAGAGTCTTTTAAACTATTTTTTTAAAGAATTGTTTTAATTTATTTTGACTAGGGCAGACCAACATGACTACCTACTTGAAACTGAGATTATTAGTGTTAGTGCTATAAAAGATAGAAGTCATTGCTCAAATGCACCTTTCTTGTGAATACAGTTGTACTGGACATACATTAACTCAGGTCAAACCCCTATTTTGATCTGATTTACATACTGTATATCAACGGTAAAGGTAAAGATACCCCTGACCGTTAGGTCCAGTTGCGGACGACTCTGGGGTTGTGTGCTCCTCTAACTCTATAGACTGTGGGAGCCGGCATTTGTCTACAGACAGCTTCTGGGTCATGTGACCAGCATGACTGAGCCGCTTCTGGCAAACCAGAGCAGCACACGGAAAACGTTGTTTACCTTCCTGCCGGAGCGGTACCTATTTATCAACTTGCACTTTGACGTGCTTTTGAACTCCTAGGTGGGCATGAGCTGGGACCGAACAACGGAAGCTCACCCCGTCGTGGAGATTCGAACCGCCGACCTTCCAATTGGCAAGCGCTAGGCTCTGTGGTTTAGACCACAGTGCCACCCATGTCCTCATATCACAACATGTAATATCAACATTACATGTTTTCAACTGGGAAAACAAAACCTAACTTTGGCTATTGATAGTATTGCTGGAATCTATTTGACAAGTGAAATTGGGATTTGCAGTTAATATTCTCTGATGGAAGAAACTCATGCACCATCAGAAGCGGGATAGCACTTTATTTTAAGAATTGTTGTATGTATTCTGATCTCCACATTCAGCAGTTCTCCTCTACATGGGATGAGCATAACAGGGAGCACCAAATAAGAAGAAAGGAAAGAGCAATAATTCAGTATTTCCCACTATTCCATTATAATCACTCAACACATGTTTTGAAACTTCTTTTTGGGCTCTGTCACAATAAAAGGTTTACAGTATACTATGTATATTTCTTGGAAATATGTCCCCTAACAGGTTTAATCTGTAAATCTCCAACCTTGTCAAATCATTTCTCCAAATCCATCATGGAAGGCTCTGTTGATAATTTCTTCTATCATGTGTTATGCATTCTAATTATAGTCCATAGAAGGCAATTACTTCATATTCTCCTCCAAGATCATGTCAGGATATTAAGTTCCTTCATTAAATATTAATTGATTAAATATATGTTTCTGTTTACCAGTCTGTGTATTAGTGTGGGTGGATTCAATTTTAAACATTAAAGGTTTGTGCAAGATCCATAATCCTGTATCTCAGTCCTATATATCTCCAATATATCCCTTATTCACATTGTGCTCTCAATGTCACCTCGGTCTCTGATCATTCCATGTGGATAATATGGGTTGCAAGTTGGCTACTTGTTGAATTGTAGTTTCAGTTGCATGATCACTTCAATTACACAGAATCCACGTGTCTATTGCAGTTAATAAACAAATCTGGGACTTCAGTCCACTCCTTTACCGCTGACAACAATCCAATTCCAAGGTAGTGGCGAAGCTTAAATTAACCACAATACCATACAGTACCCATATTGCCTAAATAGTACTTCTGTTGCCCTTAATACCTGCAGTTGCCCAGTAAGAACATGAAGGATGAATGGTATAATTCAGGAATTACAATACTTTCTCGGGGTGCAGAGATTTGTAGTACTTTTGTCATGCTTGATGTAATGACAAAGTCTACCTCACTGGGGAAATTTTTGCCATCCCTGTCATTGTCAAAATTACTGGTTTCCATCCTCTGACTTAATTGATGTCTGGAGCCCAGAAACAGGAATAACAACGTATATCCAAAAAAAGCTATAAAGTCTTCATGCTGCAAACTGGATCTAGGAAGAAGCATTGCTCTTTCATGCATTTATTGGGTCAGAAGAGCTCCATGAGCTTGTTCTGCCACCATTTTATTGCAAAAATTGTACTAGGAGTAACCCTCAACTCTTTGTTTCCTCCAAATCATCTTCCAATTCTTAGTGTGAAGAAATTGGGTGTTAGCTTTGTATCGATTAACAGTTCCACTGACCTACACACCCTTGACCTAATTTACCTTTTTGTGGGGTAGGGGACAGACTAAGAATTCTCAACACAACAACCGCCTTTGCAATCCAAGTTAAAGTAATTGATGCCTAGAGGTGAAGATCTGTAGTATTGTATAAAAGGGAAGGAATTTATATTTCTCACTCAGCTTTAGTGAATAAATTGACGAGAAAGCACAGGATATGGATATGGATACTGATGGGAAGTGATACGGCAAAATTGCACGGCAAAATTGTTACCTAACAGATCAACCAGTAAATCATTATAGGAAGAGTATAATCTGAGCTTCCTGGTGCTGACAATTCCAAGCTTGCAGATTTGATCTCTGTATGGGACAGCTGCATATTTCTGCATTGCCTTATATAATGTTGCAGATGGTAAACATATAATTCTGCACATTGAAAAATGGGTATCTCAATTTGGGGGGAAAGTTTTGGCAACAGGACCGTACTGATAGTGGCATTGCTTGTCATACTGCTGTGTCATACTGTTTGTGTGGGGGGAAATATGAATTGCAGCATATTTCATGACCCTCTCCCTATTCCCCATGAATTTTACCAGCCAGGGGACCTTGTCATCGGTGGGATTGTTTCTCAAATATTCTTTATTTACGATAGCCTCTCTTTCCTGGAACAGCCTGCAGAGACCATGACTGATGAACCTATGTAAGACCTTACTTCTTCCCTCTCTCACTTTGTAATATGTTCAGTTCATAGTTACTGAGAATGCATTATCAAGAAATACTGTGATTTATTTACTTTTGATGTGAGATATGTGGTTTCCCAGTAACAGTTGAAAATCGTTGATAGATCTATTACATTCTACATTATATTGTTGTTCACAGACCATTAATAAGCTTTCCTCCATGACCCCAGTGATGTGATAAAAATAAAAAACCAAGCACATCGTACTGAATCCCCATTGCTGTCTTATTGTAGCTGCAGCACATATTTTATTAAACAGACTGTAACTCTGATTACAGTTCAGTGCCTAAGAACTACCAGCACATCCTGGCCTTTGCATTTGCTGTCAAAGAGATCAATGAGAATCCCAACATCTTACCAAATATCACTCTGGGACTCCATATACTCAATAGCTACTATACTGCAAGGATGACCTATAAAGCTACCTTAAGCCTTCTGTCAACACAAGATAGGTTTGTCCCCAACTTCAAGTGTGACAACGAGAACAATCTGATAGGTCTCATTGGAGGGTGTATGTCTGAAATTTCTGCCAACATGGCCATCATTTCAGCAATCCTCAAGACACCACAGGTAAGTTTTCTTCATGGGTGTATGGAGCTCTCACAACTCTTGTACACTATTTTGATTCCACAACCCTTTCAATAAATTTCCTGTGAGCATTTTTCTGTGGACTTCTCCTAATACACATGCTTGGTTGCAATGTTCCCTGATGTAAACTCTTTTGCAAAACGTATTCTCTTCTATAATTCATTTTATATGTTATTTTCACTATTCTTGGCATTTTAATGCACACTATACCTTCGCATATGCATTTTAGCACATATCACTCAGCTGGAGATTTTCATTGCTAAAATAAAAGAATGGAAAATTTCAAAGGACCCGTATCTTTTTGTTCTCAGGTTGTTTTGAATATGAGTATTATGTAGGTCCCTGCTTAAACGCGAATGGAATATAATTTCTGTTCCATCCCTACTTCTTCCCAATGCTACAGAGAAACTGCTCTAAATCTCATAGAAGGCAGACATGCATGCAGCAGTAAATGAAATATTTAGAAGAAGAGACATGTTGCCTGAGACAAGTGATTCAGGTTAGGTCATGGTGAAACCAATTACTAGGGAGATCCTCACAGTGGGTCTTCAAGGAGACATACAGGACCACCTACAAGTGTATGGTTTAAAATTCTATTCTATTCTATTCTATTCTATTCTATTCTATTCTATTCTATTCTATTCTTGTACTTTCTATTTCAGCTCACATATGGATCATTTTTGCCACTACAAGGTGCCCAAAGTTTATTCCCATTTCTATACCAGATGGTCCCCAATGAAGCCTACCAGCACATGGGTGTTGTGCGGTTACTTCAGCATTTCAGATGGACATGGATTGGGCTTTGGGCTGTAGATGATGATCGTGGAGACAGATTTTTACAGACAATGATGCCATTGCTTTCCATTCATGGTCTCTGTTATGCCTCTGTCATAAGAATACCCAAATCGAATTATGTGGATGAGATGGTAGAATTTGCTTTGAAGCATTTTGAAAGCTATGCAAAAATCTTTGAGGGAAACTCCAGTACGGGAAATCCCAGTGTATACTTTATTTATGGGGAGCCTCCATCTTTTCAGGTTTTGAGAATGCTGCTGTTTTCTGCACCATTATTCTCCCTGCCACCTCTGAATAAAGTATGGATTGTTACATCCCATTGGGATTTTGAATCACACTCTGTACAGAAAGATTGGGATATGCAAGCCTTTCAGTTCACTCAAGTCGGTTATTAGGTTTCCACAATTTCATTCACAAGTTAAGGCCGTTGTGGGCAAAAGGTGATGGTTTTATCCAGTGCTTCTGGGAGCAGGCCTTCAACTGCTCATTCAAAATCTCTAAAGTACAACAAGAGGAGGAAAACAACAAAGCTTGCACTGGGGACAAGAAGCTGGAGGGCCTTCCTGGAATTTTGTTTGAAATGGACATGACTGGCCACAGCTACAATGTCTACAATGCTGTCTACATTGTGGCACATGCTTTGCATGCCATAATGAAAAGGAGCTCCAAGAGTAGAAGGATTATAGAAGGAGGGAACCTGGCATTTCCAAATGTACAATCTTGGCAGGTAACTACAATTCACCTTTTGGTACAGAGTAAAAGGAGTTGTCAATTTGCATAATTCATTTCTAGCAGCATTTTGTTTGGGTGCCTTTTTATTTTGTTTTGAATAAGCACTGCCAGATGTATTATATAATGGTCCTAATGTAGCACTATTTAACGAGAACGGCATACTGTTGAAAAATCTGTAAGGCCTCCGTGAAGTTCATTGAATAAATTTCAGGACCTAGTGACATCTCTGCACATATTCTCTTTAAAAGGTGCATTCCTTTCTAAGGCACATCGCGTTCAATAACAGTGTGGGAGATTCTGTGCACTTTGATGACAATGGAGAATTAGTTGCTTCTTTTGATGTAACAAACTGGTTGATTTTTCCCAATGGCTCACTGGTTAGAGCAAAAGTTGGAAGACTGGATTCTCAGGCTCCTTTAGGAGAAGAGTTAATAATTAATGATGATCAAATTCTATGGCATTCAAGTTTTAACCAGGTAAGATAGGTTAGCTAACTTAAAAAAATTAGAGCAGTGAACACAAGTATGTAAATGGGGAAAATATCAATCCAGAACTGTATATAATGTACATATATGTGAAATAAATGTTGAATACTGTATTAGGAGAATTTTTTGGAAAAAGAAGGGCAAGAAGAAGAAGAAGAATGGTAAGGATGTGTCACCCAAGGAATCCAGCAATCCTCTACTTCCCAATTTCATTTCAAGATGGAAGAGGATTCTGTTGTTCATAAAGCTTGACTCCTATTTGTTGCAGGCACTTACAAAGATCTCAGGTTGCCTTCCAAACAGCTCAGCTTCATTGTGATTACAAATGGCATTGATAATGTCAAGGTCAACCACCCGCAATATGGAGATCAGCAATTCTCTACTCGTTCTTAGGTTTTTAATCCCCTAATGCATTTATGATTCCGTGATGAAAAATGTGGGAATGAGCCTGTTAGCTCTGCTTACGTTCTCGGTGCTCATTGCTAGCAGTAAGGAGCCTTCTCTACCCATACAGCATTCTTAATCATGTGCAGTTGATACAACACTGCTGACATGATCAGAAATTCAACAGAGAAGTGTCTCTACTGCAGACTTCTGATTCACAACAGATAGAAGCTGGTGAAAAAGCATCATAAGAAAGTTTTCCTCACTCTAACCCTCCTGTGATTCAAATCAGATGGGAAGTGAATGACAGAAGAGTAAAAATATCTTATTTCTAATCATGTTATTATTATGTATAGATGTTGCCTATTTCTGTGTGCAATGACAACTGCCAACCTGGCTACAGCAGGAAAAGAAGGAGGGAGAAAATTTTGCTGCTATGATTGTGCTCCATGTGCAGAAGGGATGATCTCTAAGCAGAAAGGTAGGACATATAATATAAAAAACATCATATGGAAGGATGCATTGACCCGTAAGGCACATATAGCCACTACTTTGATGAAGCTAAGCAGTTCTAGGTCTGATCAGTATCTGAATGGGAGACAGACCAGGGACCCAATATATACAACCTTGCATTCCACAGTGGAATAAAAATGGGATATAAATGTAAGAAAATATTTTAAAATTCATTTTAAATTTGTTGCAGTGGGACGGGGGGACATCCCCTCACAGTTTATTGTTGGTTTTACAGCTCCTTGGGTGAAAGGGTACATATAAATGTATAAATAAATAAATAAATAAATAAATAAATAAATAAATAAATAAATACAAGTCTAAGGTACCATAAAATAACCAGAGAAATGTGGTAATACAAATGCCCATCAATATTATAGGAGGCAAAATGGACCCCATTTGCCAGGGAGTTCCATAACTGCTGAGACCATCTCCTGGATCCCAGCTAATCATATGACTGAAAAGTCCAGCAAATCTTAACGTATGGATAGATCAGGAGAACTCCATCAGTGGCCAAACTGTGAAAAGTAGAGAGCCTTATGATGTAGCAATTAGCACACAGCTACCCAGAAGCTCTAGTGTTTTCATATTAACTTTCACAGTACACAGTACACAGTGCCTGCAGAAGTGCCTCCCATGCTATGTTTTTCCCCGAATCAAATGGTTAGACTATCCCAGTCCAGATAAAGGTGCAGTTGCGTCACCAGCCAAAGCCTATGGAAGGCACTCTGAACCACTGAACCCATCTGAGCCTCAAGCAACAGTAAAGGATCCATAAGTACCTCAAAACTATGAACCATTCCATCAAAGGAGTGCAGCCCCACCCAGAGCAGGCAGCATGCCACCCATCCTATCCCCCACCCCCAAAGGTGGCAAAATGCCATTGGCCACCCTGGGCTGTTTTGTAATCTGAGTTTGGCACATTCCTGTTCCAATCCTATTTCTTTCTCATTGTATCCTGACTCTCTTCTGTAATCAGCAGAGAACTCAAGGCAATGTACAAAGAGATTCCAAGCAGTTTACTATCCAGTGAGAAAGTTGAATCATTCACCAGTCACTTTAACAGGATGGTTATGAAATGTACCTTCATACCATACCCTCTCAGAATAGCACTTCCCAAACCAGCAAAAAATTATTAATACAAAGAAAAACAACAACGATAATGATAATTTTCCTATGAAAATCACTTCTTTAGCCTTTAAAGTGATTTACATAAATTATCCCTGTAAATTTTTAACACTGTCAGATTAGTGGGTATTAGCATTATTCTCTCAGCAAAGCATAGGTGGTTGAGAAGTTTCATATGGTATTATTTGCTTGAGATGAAATTAACATCAAGGATGGTGATATTAAGGGACCCCTTTCTCCTAGAGTTCATCAAAGAACTGCAAAAGAGGCAACGGAATTTATTCACACTGATGGCCCTTTTAAATAGGTGTTGATCAACTTCTAGCCATTTCCTTCTCCTTTATCACAACTTTCATACTTGGAATTTTCGTGAAGCACAAGGACACCCCCATAGTCAAAGCTAACAACAGGACCCTCACCTACATCCTTCTCATCTCTCTCCTTCTTTGCTTCCTCTGCTCCTTACTCTTCATTGGACAGCCTGGAAAGGTCATCTGCCTTCTCCGACAAACAGCCTTTGGCATCATGTTCTCTGTTGCCCTTTCCAGCACTTTGGCAAAAACCATCACCGTGGTTCTGGCATTCATGGCAACCCAGCCAGGATCCAGAATCAGAAAATGGGTGGGGAAGAGAATGGCAAATTCCATTGTCCTCTCCGGCTCCTTTCTTCAAGCTGGCATTTGTTCTCTTTGGTTATGTACTTCCCCTCCATTCCCAGATATGGACATGCACTCAGTGACAGGAGAAATGCTACTGGAATGTAATGAGGGTTCAGCTATTATGTTCTACTGTGTCATAGGCTATATGGGTTCCTTGGCCATTGTCAGCTTCATTTTGGCTTTCCTAGCCAGGAAGTTGCCAGACAGTTTCAATGAGGCCAAATTTATCACTTTCAGCATGTTGGTGTTTTGCAGTGTTTGGCTGACTTTTGTTCCAACCTACTTGAGCACCAAAGGAAAATACATGGTGGCTGTGGAGATTTTCTCAATCTTAGCATCCAATGCTGGTTTACTGGGTTGCATCTTTTTCCCTAAATGCTACATCATTGTACTGAGGCCTGAACTCAATAAGAGGGAGCAACTAATAAGGAAAACCAAATGAAACATATATGATAAAATTGTAGCTTAGACTATTAAGGCACTTGGACTTGATTAAGGAAATATTAAGGAAATCCTTGCAACTTCAGTGGAGATGGATGCATCACACTTCAAGTTGGCTTCATACTTATATTCTGCAGTCATAAGCCACACCCTCATGTTTCCATAACTTTCACAGTTCTCTCACATAAACTGTTAGGTTTCCAGAAATTCATATAGATGAGGAACCCTTCCCATGCAGAAGAATGTGGTTTTATTCTGGATTTCTGGAAACAAGCAGCCAGCTGTTTCCTAAACCTCTTTAAGGAGGTAGATAAAACCTGTACTAAAAAGGAGAAGCTGGAAAGCCTTCCTGGAATTTTTGTTTGAAATGAACTTGCCTAGCCATAGCTACAATGTCTGCAATACTGTATATGCAGTTGCACATGTAATTCAATTTATTGTATATAGCCCAATGCCTTGACAATGAGTAACAGAGGGAAAATGCAAGATATTACACTGAACCCATGCAATATGAATATATCAAGTCTAATGAAGTGTACAGAATAAAAGTCGAAAATTACCATCCTGGGAGGATCAATGTGAGAACCAATAAACAAGGGGAGATTAAAAATATTATCAGGGCAAGTCTTATCTGGACAAATCAACAAGTACAGTAGTACCTCGGGTTACAGACACTTCAGGTTACAAACACTTCAGGTTACGGACTCCGCTAACCCAGAAATAGTACCTCGGGTTAAGAACTTTGCATCAGGATGAGAACAGAAATCCTGCGGTGACAGCAGGAGGCCGATTAGCTAAAGTGGTACCTCAGGTTAAGAATAGTTTCAGGTTAAGAACAGACCTCCAGAACGAATTAAGTTCTTAACCTGAGGTACCACTGTAGTTAATTTTATCTTCAACCTGATTGCATTCATAAACGCATTTCCATACCATATGAACTATTCCAAGGTATTTCCCTTCTAAGTATGTTGAGGGCATCTGTTGAAACACAAGTTCAACAAAGGTCCTACACAATTGTGGAAATATAAGCATATGAGAGCAGCCACGAAGAACTAAAATGATGGCACTATACTCATGCACCATCAGAAGAGGGATAGGATCTTCTTTATTTTAAAAAATTGTTGTAGGGATCCTGGTCTTCACATTGAGCTCTTCTCCTCTACATGCGATGAGACTGTATAACAGGGAGCACCAAATAAGAAGAAAGGAAAGAGCAATACTTAAATATTTCCCACTATTCCATTATAATCTCTCAACCAATATTTATAAACTTCTTTTTTTGCTCTGTTACAATAAAAAGTTTACAATATACTATGTATAGTTCTTGGAAATATGTCCCCTAACAGGTTTAATCTGTAAATCTCCAACCTTGTCAAATCATTTCTCCAAATCCAGCATGGAAGGCTCTGTTGATTATTTCTACTATCATGTGTTATGCATTCTAATTATAGTCCATAGAAGGCAATTACTTCATATTCTCCTCCAAGATCATGTCAGGATATTATGTTCCTTCATTAAATAGTTATTGATTAAATATATGTTTCTGTTTACCAGTCTGTGTATTAGTGTGGGTGGATTCAAGTTTAAATATTAAAGGTTTGTGCAAGCTCCATAATCCTGTATCTCAGTCCTATATATCTCCAATATATCCCTAAATCGCATGGTGCTCTCAAAGTCACCTCAGTCTCTCATTATTCCATTTGGACAATATTGGTTGCAAGTTGGCTACTTGTTGAATTGTAGTTTCAATTGCATGATCATTTCACTTACACAGAATCCACGTGTCTATTCTAGTGAATAAACAAATCTGGGACTTCAGTCCGCTCCTTTGCCACCGACAACAATCCAGTTCCAAGGCAGTGGTGAAGCTTGAACTAACCACTATACCATACACTATCTGTATTGCCTAAATAATACTTCTGTTGCCCTTAACACATGCAGTTGCTGAGTAAGAACATGAAAGGTGAATGGTATAATTCAGGAATTACAATACTTTTTGGGGGTGTGGGAGTGTGGAGAAATTTCTAATACTTTTGTCATACTTGATGAAACTTCAAAGTCTGTCTACTCACAGACTTTTTCCATCCCTGTCATTGTCAAAATTACTGGTTTCCATCCTCTGACTTAATTGATGTCTGGGGCCTATAATTAGGAATAAGAATGAATATCCAAAAAAAGCTATAAAGTGTTCATGCTGCAAACTGGATCTAGGAAGAGGCATTGCTCTATCATGCATTTGTTGGGTCAGGAGGGCTTTAATGAGCTGATTCTGTCACCATTCTGCTGCAAGAATTGTACTAGGAATATCCCTCAACATTTTGTTTCCCCCAGCTCATCTTCCAATTCTTAGTGTGAAAAAATTGTGCATTAGCTATCTATTGATTAACGATTCCACTGACTTACACATCCTTGACTTAATTCCCCTTTTTGTGAGGTATGGGGTCAGAATAAGAACTCTGAACACAACCCTTTGCAATCCAAGTTAAAGTAATTGATGCCTAGAGATGACGATCTATAACTAAGGATTGCAAAAGGAGAAGGAGCTTATATTTATCAGTCAGCTATAGAGTATAAATTGAGGAGAAAGTACAGGATATGGACATGGATACTGATGAGAAATGATATATGTTTAAATGCACAGCAAAATTGTTACCTAACAGATCAACCAGTAAATCAGTACAGGAAGAGTATAAACTGAGCTGCCCGGTATTGATAATACCAAGGTTGCAGGTTTGATCCCTGTATGGGACAGCTGCATATTCTTATATTGCCTTATATAATGCTGTAGATGGTAAATATATAATTTTACATATTGAAAAATGTCGATCTCAATTTGGAGAGAACGTTTGGGCAACAGGATCATGCTGGTAGTCGCATTGCTTCTCATACTGTTGTGTCATACTGTTTGTGGGAAACATGTCATGAATTGCAGCATATTTGATGACCCCCTCCCGATTCCTCATGAATTTTACCAGCTAGGGGACCTTGTCATTGGTGGGATTGTTTCTCAAATATTCTTTCTTTATGATAGCCTCTCTTTCCTGGAACAGCGCACACAGACCATCACTGATGAACCAATGTAAGACCTTACTTCTTCCCTCTCTCACTTTGTAATATGTTCAGTCCATAATTACTGAGAATGCGTTATCAAGAAATACTGAGATTTATTTACTTTTGGTGTGAGTAATAGGAGTAAGTGAAATATGTTCAGAGAGGAATTTGTTCATATTGAACATTTAGATATACAGTTTGTGATAGCACATATCATGCTTATTGTTGTGCCTTTGAATATTATATTGTATAATTCTAACCTATGCTACACCTCAGTCTTACAAGCTTACAGTAAAGTGATGATGATGTGTTAAAATGCCATTTTACTTTAGCTGCAGCACTTATTTTATTTAACAGACTGCAACTCTGATTACAGTTCAGTGCCTAAGAACTACCAGCACATCCTGGCCTTCGCATTTGCTATCAAAGAGATCAATGAGAATCCCAACATCTTACCAAATATATCCCTGGGACTCCACATCCTCAATAGTTACTACACTGCAAGGATGACCTATAAAGCTACCTTAAGCCTTCTGTCAACACGACATACGTTTGTCCCTAACTTCAAGTGTGACAACCAGAACAATCTGATAGCTCTCATTGGAGGGTGCATCTCTGAAATCTCTGCCAATATGGCCATTGTTTCAGCAATCCACAAGACTCCACAGGTTAGCTTTGTATATGAGTGTATGGAGCTCTTACAACTGTTGTACACTATCTTGATTTCAGCAACCCTTTCAATAAATTTGCCTGTGGACTTCTCCTAATACACACCCTTGTATGCAATGTTCCTTAATGCAAACTATCTTGCAAAATATATTCTCTTCTATTATGCATTTTAAAAATTATTTTCACTATTCTTGGAATTTTACTGCACATATTACTCAGCTGGATAGTTTCATTGTTAAAATAAAAGAATGGCAAGTTTCAAAGGATCACTATCTTTTTGTTCTCAGGTTGTTTTGAACATAAGAATTAGGTGGGTCCCTGCTTAAAAGAGAACTGAATTTTATTTCCCTTCCATCCCAACCTATTCCCAGTGCTACAAAGAAGTTACTCTAAATCTCATTAGACTTTGTCAATACTATGGCCAGGTTTTGTGGCATTTTGTTATGTAACATGAGAATTGGCCTCCTGGAGACCACAGACTTGGTGGAAGTCTAATGTCTCCCCCAATGTTGTTGCTGCTGTTGTTTAGTCGTTTAGTCGTGTCTGACTCTTCGTGACTCCATGGACCAGAGCAAGCCAGGCACTCCTGTCTTCCACTGCCTCCCGCAGTCTGGTCAAACTCGTGCTGGTAGCTTCAAGAACACTGTCCAACCATCTCATCCTCTGTTGTCCCCTTCTCCTTGTGCCCTCAATCTTTCCCACAATCAAGGTCTTTTCCGGCGAGCCTTCTCTTCTCATGAGGTGGCCAAAGTATTGGAGCCTCAGCTTCAGGATCTGTCCTTCCAGTGAGCACTCTGGGCTGATTTCCTTAGGGATGGATAAGTTTGATCTTCTTGCAGTCCATGGGACTCTCAAGAGTCTCCTCCAGCACCCTAATTCAAAAGCATCAATTATTTGGCGACCAGTCTCATTTATGGCCCAGCTCTCAGTTCCATACATCACAACTGAGAAAACTATAGCTTTAACTATACGGACCCATCTGGGTCACTGTTGTGCTTGGTCTGCTATTACAACTTAAGCAAGAAGGAGTGTTAATTGATGTGATAACTCTAGCAGCATGGAAGCAGTGTTCCATGGCCTCTCAGAGCACCATCCTAACCAAAGAGTGCTCTGCCAAGTTCAGGTGAGGTTCAGGTGAGCCTAATGTCTCTCCAGTGTAGCCAACTTCAGTCTGGAACACTGTTGTGTGGTTTGCTATTACAACTTAAGCAAGAAGGAGTGAAAATTGATGTGAGAGCTCTAGCAGCATGGCAGCAGTGTTCCATGCTAACCAAAGAGTGCTCTGCCAAGTTCATTTGGCATGGTAGAAGGCAGACATGCATGCAGACCTAAATGAAATATTTAGAAGAAGAGGCATGTTGCCTGAGACAAGTGATTCAGGTTAGATCATGGTGAAACCAATTACTGGGGAGATCCTCACAGTGGGTCTTCAAGGAGGCATACAGGACCACCTACAAGTGTATGGTTTAAAATTCTATTCTATTCTATTCTATTCTATTCTATTCTATTCTATTCTATTCTATTCTATTCTTGTACTTTTCATTTCAGCTCACATACGGATCATTTTTGCCACTACAAGGTGTCCAAAGTTTATTCCCATTTCTATACCAGATGGTCCCCAATGAAGCCTACCAGCACATGGGTGTTGTGCGGTTACTTCAGCATTTCAGATGGACATGGATTGGACTTTGGGCTGTAGATGATGATCGAGGAGACAGATTTTTACAGACAATGATGCCATTGCTTTCCATTCATGGCATCTGTTATGCCTTTGCCACAAGAATACCCAAATGGAATTATGTGGAAGAGATGATAGAATTTGCTTTGCAGCATTTTGAAACCTATGCAAAAATCTGTGAGAGAAAGTCCAGTAAGGGAAATCCCAGTGTATTCTTTATTTATGGAGAGCCTCCATCTTTTCAGGTTTTGAGAATGCTGCTGTTTTCTGCACCTCTATTCTCACTGCCACCTCTGAATAAAGTTTGGATTGTTACATCCCATTGGGATTTTGCATCACACTCTGTACAGAAAGATTGGGATATGCAAGCCTTTCATGGTTCTTTATCCTTCACAGTTCACTCAAATCAGTTATTAGATTTCCATAAGTTCATTCACAATTTAAGGCCGTTGTGGGCAAAAGGTGATGGGTTTATCCAGTTCTTCTGGGAGCAGGCCTTCAGCTGCTCATTCAAACTCTCTAAAGGACTGCAAGAGGAGGAAAACAACAAAGCTTGCACTGGGGATGAGAAGCTGGAGGGCCTTCCTGGACTTCTGTTTGAAATGGACATGACTGGCCACAGCTACAATATCTACAATGCTGTCTACATTGTGGCACATGCTTTGCATGCCATAAAGAAAAGGATCTCCAAGAGTAGAAGGATTATAGAAGGGGGAAAACTGGCATTTCCAAACGTGCAATCATGGCAGGTAATAGCTATTCAGCTTTTAGTCCAGACGTAAAAGGAGCTGTAAATTTGCATAATTCATTTCTAGGAACATTTTTTTTTGCTGGCCTTCTTGTTTTGTTTTGAATAAGCACTGCCAGATATGTTATATAATTGTGCTAATATAGAGTTATTTAATGAGAATGACTTACTGTTGAAAAATTAGTAAGGTCTCCAAGAAACCCATTGAATAAATTTCGAAACCTAGCAACATATCTGCACATATTCTCTTTAAAAGGTGCATTCCTTTCTAAGGCACATCGCGTTCAATAACAGTGTGGGAGATTCTGTGCACTTTGATGACAATGGAGAATTAGTTGCATGTTTTGATGTAACAAACTGGTTGATTTTTCCCAATGGCTCACTGGTTAGAGCAAAAGTTGGAAGCCTGGATTCTCATGCTCCTTTAGGAAAAGAGTTAAGAATAAATGATGATGAAATTCTATGGCATCCAAGTTTTAACCAGGTAAGATAGGTTAGCTAACTTTTATGTATATAAAGCTGTGAACATTTGAGTCTCTAAATGAGAAGAATATCAATCCAAAACTGTATATAATGTACATATTTGTGAAATAAATGTAGAATAGGAGAATTATTTGGAAGGAGAAGTAGGAGAAGAAAAAGAATACAAAGAATCTGTCATCCAAAGGATCCAGCAATCCTTTTATTCCCTATTTCATTTCAAGCTGGAAGAGGATTCTGGTGTTTTTTACATCTTGACTCATATTTGATGCAGGCCCTTACAAAGATCTCAAACAGCTCAGCTTCATTTTTATTACAACTGGCACTTGTAATTTCAGGGTCAACAGCCCACAATATGGGGATCAGCAGTTCTCCACTTATTCATAGGTTATTCATGCGGTGATGAATTTATGATTGTTTGATGAAGAATGTGGAAATGAGCCTGTTGGCTCTTACACTGCAACACTGCTGACATGAGCAGAAATTCAATGGAGAAGGGTCTGTACTTCACACTATAGATTTACAACATATAGAAGCTGATGACAAAGATTAAGAAGAAAGTGACAGAGGCAACTGAGCCTAATGGGTTTTCCTCACTCTCTGTCACGGGACAGACAGGGAACACCCTTGCGTCAAGTGAAGGGGGAATATCCGAGGCGGTACAATCAGTCGGGGAAAGCAGGGGAATAGCGGATGTAATGGGAAGGAGAAGGTGGAGAGCAGTCAAGGGGTGTCAGGGCTCTGCTATGCTGGAGAGCCCTACCACCAACCAGGGAGTCAGGAACAGAAAAGGAAGTGGTGTCTTCGGCACAGGCGAGGAGAGAGTTAAAACGCAGAGATCAAAGACATCTCAAGAGATTCCCACATATGCTGTGTTGGAGAAGGAGCCGAAGGAAGCCACTCCATGAATCTGACTCCTCGGATGCAGAAGCATGATTCGGAACTGTTGCTGTTTGTACATATGTAAATAAAGAACTGTAAATATCTCTCTAAGTGAGCAGAGGGTGTTTATTGTGAAGAGCAGACACCACCATGACACTCTCCCCCACACTTGATTCAAATCAGATGGGAAGTGAATGACGGAAGAGTAAAAATATCTTATTGCTAATCTCCGTGTTATTATTATGTATAGGTGTTGCCTATTTCTGTGTGCAATGACAACTGCCAACCTGGCTACAGCAGGAAAAAGAAGGATGGAGAAAAATTTTGCTGCTATGATTGTGCTCCATGTGCAGAAGGGATGATCTCTAAGCAGAAAGGTAGGAGATATAATATAAAAAACATCATATGGAAGGATGCCTTGACACTTAAGGCACATGAAGCTAAGCAGTTCTAGGACTGATCAGTATCTGAATGGGAGACAGACCAGGGACCCAATATATACAACCTTGCATTCCACAGTGGAATAAAAATGGGATATAAATGTAAGAAAATATTTAAAAATTCATTTTAAATTTGTTGCAGTGGGATGGGGGGACATCCCCTCACAGTTTATTTTTGGCTTTACAGCTCCTTGGGTGAAAGGGTGAATATAAATTAAATAAATAAATAAATAAATAAATAAATAAATGTCTAAGGAACCATAAAATAACCAGAGAAATGTGATAATAAAAATGTCCATCAATATTATAGGAGGCAAAATGGACCCCATTTGCCAGGGAGTTCCATAACTGAGACCATCTCCTGGGTCCCAGCTAATCATATCACTGAAAAGTCCAGCAAATCTTAACGTATGGATAGATCAGGAGAACTCCATCAGTGGCCAAACTGTGAAAAGTAGAGAGCCTTATGATGTAGCAATTAGCACACAGCTACCCAGAAGCTCTAGTGTTTTCATATTAACTTTCACAGTACACAGTACACAGTGCCTGCAGAAGTGCCTCCCATGCGATGTTTTTCCCCGCATCAAATGGTTAGACTATCCCAGTCCAGATAAAGGTGCAGCTGGGTCAGCAGCCAAAGCCTATGGAAGGCACTCTGAACCACTGAACCCATCTGAGCCTCAAGCAACAGTAAAGGATCCATAAGTACCTCCAAACTATGAACCATTCCATCAAAGGGAGTGCAGCCCCACCCAGAGCAGGCAGCATGCCACCCATCCTATCCCCCACCCCCGAAGGTGGCAAAATGCCATTAGCCACCCTGGGCTGTTTTGTAATCTGAGTTTGGCACATTCCTGTTCCAATCCTATTTCTTTCTCATTGTATCCTGACTCTCTTCTGTAATCAGCAGAGAACTCAAGGCAATGTACAAAGAGATTTCAAGCAGTCTACTATCCAGTGAGAAAGTTGAATCATTCACCAGTCACTTTAACAGGATGATTATGAAATGTACTTTCATACCATACCCTCTCAGAATAGCACTTCCCAAACCAGCAAAAAATTATTAATACAAAGAAAAACAACAACGATAATGATAATTTTCCTATGAAAATCACTTCTTTAGCCTTTAAAGTGATTTACATAAATTATCCCTGTAAGTTTTTAACACTGTCAGATTAGTGGGTATTAGCATTATTCTCTCAGCAAAGCATAGGTGGTTGAGAAGTTTCATATGGTATTATTTGCTTGAGATGAAATTAACATCAAGGATGGTGATATTAAGGGACCCCTTTCTCCTAGAGTTCATCAAAGAACTGCAAAAGAGGCAACAGAATTTATTCACACTGATGGCCCTTTTAAATAGGTGTTGATCAACTTCTAGAAGTATTTAAAGTAGCTCTTTACTATTTTCAGATATGGATGCCTGTGTCAAATGTCCAGAAGACCAGTATCCCAATATGGACCAAACTCAATGCATCCCCAAAGCTGTAAGCTACCTCTCTTACAAAGAAACATTAGGGATTACTTTAGCTAACTTAGCCATTTCCTTCTCCTTTATCACAACTTTCATACTTGGAATTTTCGTGAAGCACAAGGACACCCCGATAGTCAAAGCTAACAACAGGACCCTCACCTACATTCTTCTCATCTCTCTCCTTCTTTGCTTCCTCTGCTCCTTACTCTTCATTGGACAGCCTGGAAAGGTCATCTGCCTTCTCCGACAAACAGCCTTTGGCATCATGTTCTCTGTTGCCCTTTCCAGCACTTTGGCAAAAACCATCACCGTGGTTCTGGCATTTATGGCAACCCAGCCAGGATCCAAAATCAGAAAATGGGTGGGGAAGAGAATGGCAAATTCCATTGTCCTCTCCGGCTCCTTTCTTCAAGCTGGCATTTGTTCTCTTTGGTTATGTACTTTCCCTCCATTCCCAGATATGGACATGCACTCAGTGACAGGAGAAATGCTACTGGAATGTAATGAGGGTTCAGCTATCATGTTCTACTGTGTCATAGGCTACATGGGTTTCTTAGCCATTGTCAGCTTCATTTTGGCTTTCCTAGCCAGGAAGTTGCCAGACAGTTTCAATGAGGCCAAATTTATCACTTTCAGCATGTTGGTGTTTTGCAGTGTCTGGCTGACTTTTGTTCCAACCTACTTGAGCACCAAAGGAAAATACATGGTGGCTGTGGAGATTTTCTCCATCTTAGCATCCAATGCTGGCTTACTGGGTTGCATCTTTTTCCCTAAATGCTACATCATTGTACTGAGGCCTGAACTGAATAAGAGGGAGCAACTAATAAGGAAAACCAAATGAAACATATATGAGAAAATTGTAGCTTAGAGTTATTAAGGTATTTGGGCTTGATTAAGGAAACATTAAGAATATCCCTGCAACTTCAGTGGAGATGGATGCATCACACTTCAAGTTGGCTTCATACCTATATTCTGCAGTCATAAGCCAAACCCTCATGTTTCCGTAAGTTTCACAGTTCATTCAAATAAACTTTTAGACTTCCAGAAATTCATATAGAAGAGGAATGCTTCCCATGCAGAAGAATGTGGTTTTATCCTGGACTTCTGGGAACAAGCAGCCAGCTGTTTCCTAAACCTCTTTAAGGAGGTAGATAAAACCTGTACTAAAAAGGAGAAGCTGGAAAGCCTTCCTGGAGTTTTTTTTTTTTAATGAACATGCCTAGCCATAGCTACAATGTCTGCAATGGTGTATATGTAGTTGCACATGTAATTCAATTTATTGTATATAGCCCAATGCCTTGACAATGAGTAACAGAGGGAAAATGCAAGATATTACACTGAACCCATGCAATATGAATATATCAAGTCTCATGAAGTGTACAGAATAAAAGTTGAAAATTACCATCCTGGGAGGATCGATGTGAGAACCAATAAACAAGGGGAGATTAAAAATATTATCAGGGCAAGTCTTATCTGGACAAATCAACAAGTACAGTGGTACCTCGGGTTACAGACACTTCAGGTTACAAACACTTCAGGTTACGGACTCCGCTAACCCAGAAATAACTTTGCATCAGGATGAGAACAGAAATCCTGCGGTGACAGCAGGAGGCCAATTAGCTAAAGTGGTACCTCAGGTTAAGAATAGTTTCAGGTTAAGAACAGACCTCCAGATTGAATTAAGTTCTTAACCTGAGGTACCACTGTAGTTAATTTTATCTTCAACCTGATTGCATTCATAAATGCATTTCCATACCATATGAACTATTCCAAGGTATTTCCCTTCTAAGTATGTTGAGGGCATCTGTTGAAACTCATGTTCAACAAAGGTCCTACATAATTGTGGAAATATAAGCATATGAGAGCAGCCACAATGAACTAAAATGATGGCACTATACTCATGCACCATCAGAAGAGGGATAGGAACTTCTTTATTTTAAAAATTGTTGTAGGGATCCTGGTCTTCACATTGAGCTCTTCTCCTCTACATAGGATGAGACTGTATAACAGGGAGCACCAAATAAGAAGAAAGGAAAGAGCAATAATTAAATATTTCCCACTATTCCATTATAATCTCTCAACCAATATTTATAAACTTCTTTTTTGGCTCTGTTACAATAAAAAGTTTACAATATACTATGTATAGTTCTTGGAAATATGTCCCCTAACAGGTTTAATCTGTAAATCTCCAACCTTGTCAAATCATTTCTCCAAATCCAGCATGGAAGGCTCTGTTGATTATTTCTACTATCATGTGTTATGCATTCTAATTATAGTCCATAGAAGGCAATTACTTCATATTCTCCTCCAAGATCATGTCAGGATATTATGTTCCTTCATTAAATATTAATTGATTAAATATGTTTCTGTTTACCGGTCTGCGTATTAGTGTGGGTAGATTCAAGTTTAAATATTAAAGGTTTGTGCAAGCTCCATAATCCTATACCTCAGTCCTATATATCTTCAATATATCCCTAAATCGCATGGTGCTCTCAAGGTCACCTCAGTCTCTCATCATTCCATGTGGACAATATTGGTTGCAAGCTGGCTACTTGTTGAATTGTAGTTTCAATTGCATGATCATTTCACTTACACAGAATCCACGTGTCTAATCTAGTGAATAAACAAATCTGGGACTTCAGTCCGCTCCTTTGCCACCGACAACAATCCAGTTCCAAGGCAGTGGTGAAGCTTGAACTAACCACTATACCATACACTATCTGTATTGCCTAAATAATACTTCTGTTGCCCTTAACACATGCAGTTGCTGAGTAAGAACATGAAAGGTGAATGGTATAATTCAGGAATTACAATACTTTTTGGGGGTGTGGGAGTGTGGAGAAATTTCTAATACTTTTTTCATACTTGATGAAACTTCAAAGTCTGTCTACACACTGGGGAAGTTTTTTCCATCCCTGTCATTGTCAAAATTACTGGTTTCCATCCTCTAACTTAATTGATGTCTGGCGCCCATAATTAGGAATAACAATGAATATCCAAAAAAAGCTATAAAGTCTTCATGCTGCAAACTGGATCTAGGAAGAGGCATTGCTCTATCATGCATTTGTTGGGTCAGGAGGGCTTTAATGAGCTGATTCTGCCACCATTCTGTTGCAAGAATTGTACTAGGAATATCCCTCAACATTTTGTTTCCCCCAGCGCATCTTCCAATTCTTAGTGTGAAAAAATTGGGCATTAGCTATCTATTGATTAACGATTCCACTGACTTACACATCCTTGACTTAATTCCCCTTTTTGTGAGGTATGGGGTCAGAATAAGAACTCTGAACACAACCCTTTGCAATCCAAGTTAAAGTAATTGATGCCTAGAGATGACGATCTATAACTAAGGATTGCAAAAGGAGAAGGAGCTTATATTTATCAGTCAGCTTTAGAGAATAAATTGAGGAGAAAGCCCAGGATATGGATACTGATGGGAAATGATATATATTTAAATGCACAGCAAAATTGTTACCTAACAGATCAACCACTAAATCAGTACAGGAAGAGTATAATCTAAAGTCCCTGGTATTGATAATACCAAGGTTGCAGGTTTGATCCCTGTATAGGACAGATGCATATTCTTATATTGCCTTATATAATGCTGTAGATGGTAAATATATAATTTTGCACATTGAAAAATGTCTATCTCAATTTGGAGAGAACGTTTGGGCAACAGGATCATGCTGGTATTCGCATTGCTTCTCATACTGTTGTGTCATACTGTTTGTGGGAAACATGTTGTGAACTGCAGCATATTTGATGATCCCCTCCCTATTCCTCATGAATTTTACCAGTCAGGGGACCTTGTCATTGGTGGGATTGTTTCTCAAATATTCTTTCTTTATGATAGCCTCTCTTTCCTGGAACAGCGTACACAGACCATCACTGATGAACCCATGTAAGACCTTACTTCTTCCCTTTCTCACTTTATAATATGTTCAGTTCATAATTACTGAGAATGCATTATCAAGAAATACTGTGATCTATTTACTTTTGGTGTGAGTTATAGGAGTGAGTGCAATATGTTCAGAGAGGAATTTGTTCAGATTGAACATTTAGATATACTCTTTGTGATAGCACATATCATGCTTATTGTTGTGAATTTGAATATTATATTGTATAATTCTAACCTATGCTACATCTCAGTCTTACAAGCTTTCTGTAAACTGATGATGATGTGTTAAAATGCCATTTTACTTTAGCTGCAGCACTTATTTTATTTAACAGACTGCAACTCTGATTACAGTTCAGTGCCTAAAAACTACCAGCACATCCTAGCCTTTGCATTTGCTGTCAAAGAGATCAATGAGAATCCCAACATCTTACCAAATATATCCCTGGGACTCCACATCCTCAATAGCTACTACACTGCAAGGATGACCTATAAAGCTACCTTAAGCCTTCTGTCAACACGACATAGGTTTGTCCCTAACTTCATGTGTGACAACCAGAACAATCTGATAGCTCTCATTGGAGGGTGCATCTCTGAAATCTCTGCCAATATGGCCATTGTTTCAGCAATCCTCAAGACTCCACAGGTAAGCTTTGTTTATGAGTGTATGGAGCTCTCACAACTGTTGTAGACTATCTTGATTTCAGCAACCCCTTCAATAAATTTGCCGTGAGCATTTTCCTGTGGACTTCTCCTAATACACACCCTTGTATGCAATGTTCCTTAATGTAAACTATCTTGCAAAATATATTCTCTTCTATTATGCATTTTATATGTTATTTTCACTATTCTTGGCATTTTACTGCACGTATTACTCAGCTGCATAGTTTCATTGTTAAAATAAAAGAATGGCAAATTTCAAAGGATCAGAAACTTTTTGTTCTCAGGTTGTTTTGAACATAAGAATTATGTGGGTCCCTGCTTAAATGGGAACTGAATTTTATTTCCCTTCCATCCCAACCTATTCCCAGTGCTACAAAGAAGCTACTCTAAATCTCATTAGACTTTGTCAATCCCAAGTCAGGTTTTGTGACATTTTGTTATGTAACATGAGAATTGGCCTCCTGGAGACCACAGACTTGATGGAAGTCTAATGTCCCTCCCAATGTTGTTGCTGTTGTTGTTTAGTCGTTTAGTCGTGTCTGACTCTTCATGACTCCATGGACCAGAGCACACCAGGCAATCCTGTCTTCCACTGCCTTCCGCAGTTTGGTCAAACTCATGCTGATAGCTTCAAGAACACTGTCCAACCATCTCGTCCTCTGTTGTCCCCTTCTCCTTGTGCCCTCAATCTTTCCCAACATCAGGGTCTTTTCCAGGGAGTCTTCTCTTCTCATGAGGTGGCCAAAGTATTGGAGCCTCAGCTTCAGGATCTGTCCTTCCAGTGAACACTCAGGGCTGATTTCCTTAGGGATGGATAAGTTTGATCTTCTTGCAGTCCATGGGACTCTCAAGAGTCACCTCCAGCACCCTAATTCAAAAGCATCAATTCTTCGGCGATCAGCCTTCTTTATGGTCCAGCTCTCACTTCCATACATCATAACTGAGAAAACTATAGCTTTAAATATACGGACCCATCTGGGTCACTGTTGTGCTTGGTCTGCTATTTCAACTTAAGCAAGCAGGAGTGATAATTGATGTGATAACTCTAGCAGCATGGAAGCAGTGTTCCATGGCCTCTCAAAGCACCATCCTAACCAAAGAGTGCTCTGCCAAGTTCATTTGGCATGGCAGAAGGCAGAGATGAATGCAGCAGTAAATGAAATATTTAGAAGAAAAGACATGTTGCCTGAGACAAGTGATTCAGGGTAGGTCATTATGAAACCAATTACTGGGGAGCTCCTCACAGGGGGTATTCAAGGAGACATGCAGGACCTCCTACAAGT